TCTTTACGATATACGAAATAAATATGTGGAGAAGTTTGATTTCAATTTGCAAAAAAAAAAGTGCTTTTAAAAAGCACTTTTGGAGTAATCCAAACACCTTCTAAATGTTAAGACAAATCCAAATTAAAACTTATAAAATAGATTACGACCCTCTCCAAATTTAAAGCTTATATATAGTACTAGAGGGAGTATTATTGACGACATCATTTTTGTCGTCTTTGAATATCAAACCTTAATTGCTACACTAAATATTTACACACACACACACACTATTAATTCATCCGCGCGTTATATACTCTAAATTTTTTGACGGTGGATGAATACAAATAAAGTAATTAATATGCAGAATGTTTTTGTAGCAAGAGTTGGCTATTTCTTAATTGCAAACAATACAAACTGAAGCAATTCAGCATGATATGAAAAATCCAAACAATCTGTTGTAGAAAATAACATAACGCCAGCCAGAACATGGTGGAATTTTTTCCCCCATAGTTAATATTCTTAATTAACTATAAAACTTCCTAAACTAATTGATCAAATTCTTCTAAATGACATTTGTTGAAGGTAAATTTAATATTTCATAAGAAATAACTAACTTTATCTAACTTTATTAATTCATTTTATATATGTTTATAGTAAAAACTGGATATGGAGCATTTAAGCATTAGAGGCCCCCACACATTCAATCCCAAGCACAATCCAAAATTAACAGAAAAGGACTGCGGACAAAAACATGGTTAATTTCCCGCCTATATGGCGTGTAATAATTAATGTCCCATATTTCGCTGTAAATGAAAAGGGTTGCCTGATTCAAATGAAGGAATTGTCATATGGTTGACCAAGTTATTACATGCGTATGTAGAATTAATGTGGCAAGCTCATTTTCATTACAAAATAAAAAAGTTAATTTATATGACAGTGGTATGATTGAAAACTATCGCCCATAGTTAGGTAGGTTGCATGCTCCGCTTATCCTATTTATAAATCACTTTCAACATATTTTACACAGATCAAGAAAAACCTTAAACTTCATTAACTCTCATTTAAAAATTTAACAACTTTATAATTTTATCTCTATTTCATATATATTATACTTCATGTAAATAAAGTCAACACAATAATAAATGAAGGATAAAATTGTACATCCATACAAAATTTTTCTCTCAATACCCTATAAATAGGACCAAAAAATGTCTTTTCTTTTTGTCCTATAAATAGAACCAGAGGAGTATAGTATAAGATCCCATTTTGAATGACTTATAAGTAACTTCTTAATTATAATTTATAGAATACGAAAAAAATAAGTAGAGAAGTTTTGTGACGACTAATATAAAATATGTTTATAAGTATTTTTAATTATAATTTCAAACAACCTAAATAGTACTACCTCCGGTCCTTAATATAAGACATTGTTTGACTTTTATTTTGGTCCTAAATATAATACCTCAATTTACTTTGTCTCTCATATTTATCCATTTTTTTTCCAAGATAGTCCTTCTAATAATAATAGTTCTAGATAATAAACCTAATTAGTAAGGATATTTTAGGAAAAACAACACCTATTCATTATAAATAACTAACTTAACTAACTTTCTTAATTTTCCTAAATTAGTCAACTGAGTCTCATAATTAGGACAGGAGATACTATGATAATAATAAGAACTTTTTTCCTGTGAAAGAAAGAGGCATTACAGACAATCAAGAAAAGAGAAAGGGATAATTCCATTTAGGTCTCACACAAGACAATTAATTCACAGGAACCTGTGTGTAATAACTCCCAAGTCCCCAGGAATCTGTGTGTAATAAATTGTAATTATGAAATTACCTATTTACCCCATTCATTTACAACCTTAACAGTGGCTGTTGACAACCCGAGGAGAAGTGGTTAACAACCTCGACAGTGCTCCTGGTATCCCACAGAGTGAGTTGTCAGGGGTACTGCCGAGGTTGTTAACCACTTCTCTTCGGGTTTTCAACAACCATTATTGAGGTTGTAAATAAATTACTGCAATAAAATTAATGGGAGTAAATAGGTAATTTCATAATTTTAATTTATTATACATAGGTTCCTAGGGACTTAGGAATCATTTTGAAATTTTTAAGGACTTTTTATAAATTAATTGTCTTGTGTGGGACCTATGTGTAATTTTCCCAAAGAGAAAACTGGTAGCTTTTCCTCTTCACACGCCAATGGTACGTGCTCATAAATGACAATGAGCAGTAATTGTCCCTATGTAAATAATAAAATTCTAATCAAGGCTTATACTTTTAACAAATTTCTAATTAGGTTTTTAAATGTTGCTAAAAGACCAGAATGTCTTTTTGTAATCAAAAAGGAAAATTGGATGTAGGTGTAAGCCTAATTTTAGTTTTAATTATTTTAGTAGATTTACCAATGAGGACATGGTCTTTCTTAGATTTTATGTCAAAGTTGTATTTTATACTTGTGAATGTTATGTCAACTCTAGAATTTATGGGCTTTTAGTTATTTTTTATATAATAAAAATTTGATATTGAATAAATCTTAGAGGTTGAAAAATTGAAGATGAATTGAAGAGTCTCAATGTAATTTGTGAAATAGTAAAATTAATTTCGATAGATATTCAAGAATGAGGTGAATCTTTAATTTGATTTTTTCTCGCACAAAAAAAAAATCTTTGATCCTGTTAATCTTTGACATTTGAAATTGTAAAATTTTTATTGGTTCCCATATTTTTATAATTCTATGGATATTTAGAAATTATACATTTTTTATCTTGACTTTTCAATTATTTTTTATTGGCCAAAATCATGATTTTTCTTTTTTTTATATGATAATTTTTTTGGCCAAATTTTCATATGATAATATTTAAAGAAAAAACATGTTAGTTAAATTCAATTAAAAGAATTAAAACTAAAATTAGGCTTTTTAATTACGAAGAGCATTTTGGTCTTTTAGCAATATTTAGAAATCTCCAATTAGGCCTCTTGACCTAATTAAGAATTTGTTAAAAATGTAGGCTTAAATTAGGATTTTTCTATTTCAAATGGATTTAATTAGAATTTTCTCTTTACTCATTTCTCAGCAACACAGTCACTTGTAATTTTTTATTTATTTATTTGGGTATTTAACCTATATCGTCCAGATTTAATATAATTTCATTATTATATTTTTAATAGTTTAATTCCTTAATGTGCATATAATCTAAAATAAAAAAAAAATCTTTTAGTGAATGATTGAGAAAGGAACCATGCGACAGTAGAGTGTAACTTGGTGGTCCAAGAATTGAATGCCGTTGCTGCCGGCATGTCGCGATGCATATTACTATCTGTACCAGTATGACCCAATATGTGTCCCCATTCATAGCTGTCTCTCTTACACACATGCGTATGTAGTGAGCAGTAATACCTGCTTTTCCGTAAAATATACTTAACTAATCTAAATAGATGGAAAAAATTAATTAAGTTATTAGGAATAATTTCGAAGGCAAATACTCCTATGGTCCTTAATATAAGACCTAATTGTTGAGTTAATTTGGGTCCTAAATATAAAATCTATTTATCATATTTATCAATTTTTTTAAAATTACCTCTATAGATTATCCCTCAACTATAATCAAGTAAAAGAGAGAGGGAGGATATTAAGAAAGATGATTATGGTATTTTAGAAAAAATATGTTATATTTCTTATAATTAACTAACTTACCTAATTTTCTTAATCTAATCAAATTAGTTAAATATGTTTTATATTAAGGACCGGAAGAGTAGTACGGATAAAGGACAAAATGAATTGAAATCTTATATTTAAAACCAAACCTAATCTCTTAACTAGCTCTTATGACCAGAGTTAATATTACCTCTGCTTCTTAATATAAGAGTTAGTTAACTAATTTAAGTAAATTAAAAAATTAGTTAAATTAGTTATTTGTAATAAATAGATATTATCTTTCTTAAAATATCTTTGTTAATCAAGTGTCATTGGTAATACATTTAACATGTGCAATTATTATAAGAACTAATGGATAAATATGAAAAACAAAGTGGATTGGGGTCTTATATTTAAAATTAATTTGAAAGTCAAATTAGTTCTTATATTAGAGAGCGAAGGTAGTATATTGAGATCTTATAATTTCATATTTAGAAGCCATGTAATTTCTGTGTAACATGTGGATTATTTTTCTTTCCAAATTAGGCATTATAACTAATTAAAATTGCTTGTTCCCAACATCGATGGAGTAACTTCTAAGCCAAGCCATTTATTTGATCTCTTGCCGAAATTTCTTTTCACGATTGAAATGGTTTTATACTTTTATTCAATCACTCATATTCGTAGTTAGCAATTAATTAGGCTGCCATTAATGATCATCATCAATGCCCAAATTAAACTCCCACCTAATTTCATCCAAAGGTATCCCTACCTACTTTTCTATTCTCTTTTTTAAACCACATATATTACTAACCCTTTCAAGTTTCAATAATGATTTCAATACATCCGCGGACAATATCAATGATTTTTTCTTCTTTTGAGTTCTCCCCTATCATTTTAATATCGTTTCCAAACATAATGAAGATGGAAACAAGTAAAACATAATTTTTAACTTTATAGATAAAAGATTAATAAAAATTTGGTTATAAGTACCTATTTAAAAATTTTATTGGTCAAAAAGACCTGCAATTGATCTTCAATCATGTACAACATATTTTCTTCTAGCCAATTTTTTCTCAGATTAATTTTATTTTCTTGAAAATAACATTAGTCTCTGTTCATTTTTATTAATAGATTATTCACAACAAACTAAATACACAGCTTGTTCTCTATATGCATTCAATATCTTGACCTTTTTTTTTTTTTTGGTTCCCTGGACCTGGTATACCTAATTCAATGCCATTTTTAAATCGTACGCAAAGAAGTAAATACTTAAAGGAAACAGTTGATACTTAAAGAAGGTTTTTACTCTGTGAGGAAAAGACTGTTGCTTCTCCCGACCTCTGATCTCTGCTCAAGGTTCAGTATCAGAACCAATCTTAAGAGAGCAAGTGGGATGGGAAAATTCCGTAGTACCCTTCTCTTAGTTTGTTTGATTCAAGTCTTGTTCTTCTTCATCTCATCAGCAAGCAGCAGCAGTAGTAGTGGAAAGAAAGTTCCAGCGATTATCGTGTTTGGTGACTCGTCTGTGGATTCTGGGAACAACAACTTCATCCCCACCATAGCGAGAAGCAACTTCGAGCCTTATGGACGTGACTTCTTCGGTGGCTTTCCCACTGGAAGGTTCTCCAATGGCAGAATCCCTCCCGACTTCATCTCCGAAGCCTTTGGCCTCAAACCCTACGTTCCTGCTTACTTAGATCCTTCCTATAATATCTCTGATTTTGCTGTCGGTGTTTGCTTTGCTTCTGCTGGTACTGGCTATGACAATGCCACTTCTAATGTTGCTGTAATTACCTTCTTCCCTTCAAATTACACTACTCTCTCTCTACATATATATATATATATATATATATATTTTCTTTCTGTGAGTGATCTCATCATCTCATCAAATTCACCTTCCAGATTTCAGAAAGGTGAGCTTTCTGAAAAAGTATTTGCATCTTGAGACTTTGAACCAAGAAAATCTCAAGATGCATATATATATATATATATATATATATAACAACTTAGGTTCTTCCTTGTAAGAGAGATCTAGCTTTTTCACTGCGGGATATAACTTGAGGTATATGTATGCATGATTTGTAGAATCAAACATGAAAAAAGAAAACATCCGATAATATACTATGCATGATTTGAACACAAACATTAGCCAGATCGATCGTTTATTTGACAGGATGTGATACCATTATGGAAAGAAGTGGAGTACTACAAGGAGTACCAGAAGAAGCTAAGGTCTCATCTTGGCACCGACAAGGCGAACAAGATAATAAGAGAAGCTCTATACCTAGTGAGCATAGGAACAAACGATTTCCTGGAAAACTATTACACTTTACCGGAACGACAACTTGAGTTCACAATTGAGGAGTACGAGGATTTTCTGATAGGTTTAGCAGAGAACTTCCTTAGAGGGCTGTATGACCTTGGAGCAAGGAAGGTGTCCCTCACAGGGGTCCCTCCAATGGGGTGCTTGCCCCTGGAAAGGGCCACCAACATTTTGGAGTACCATGGATGTGTGGAGGAATACAACAATGTGGCGTTGGAGTTCAATGGGAAGTTGGGTCAGTTGGTGACGAAACTGAATAAGGAGCTTCCTGGGTTTCAATTGGTTGATGCAAATGCATTTGACTTCATACTGCAAATTATCACACAGCCTTCTCGGTTTGGTAAGATCTTTTCTTAATTATTAGATCTGTTTTGCTGCTCTTAAGTTTTTGGTTTTGTCTATCTTAAAGGCTTGGGCTGAGAATGGAATTTTCAGTTTATAGTTCCATTTCTGGGTTTTACTAGGAATAGAATGGCATATCAGATTGCCAGAGGAAATACCTTTCAACTAACCTATTTTAGTTTCGACCTCTTGTTTAGAAGACATTCTAATTGAATCATATAAATTCTTGAGAAAGGTAGTTAAATTTTTTCAAAGATTATTAGAACATTCCCAAATTAATCTTAATTAAAACTATTAATTAATTTCTGCCTTTAGATCTTAATTAAAGTCAAGTACGTCACCCAGATGAATCAATTGGATTTGTGAGTTTTTTTTTAAATAATTCATAAATAATGCTTTACTAAATTTTATAAACTGTGCTTTTAAATTTACCCCAAAAAAAAGGGACTAATCAAAACTTATGGATGTGTCTTTTTGCTGAAGGGATAATAAAAATAGAAGTCTTATTGTGAAGTAGTAGATTTTTGCCAATTTTAGTTCATGCTTCTTTAATTTTTCAACCAATTGAAAGTTAATCACTCCCTTCAATTTTAAATATAAAACAGACTTAACTGATTCACGTTTCTTAATGAATGATAGTTTATATTATTAATCTCATAAACAAATGTTTATTTTTTGTTTTGTCCATGTAAAACAATGACCACAATTAATTAAGTACCGCATTAGAGTTAAAAACAAGCCAATAGATTATAAAATAATACTACATCTGGTACTTAATATAATAGCTAGTTTGACTTTTAATTTGATCCTAAATATAAGATTCTAATTCATTTTATTTCTTATATTTATCTATTTTTCTCAACGTAGTTCCTCCAGATAGTACTGTAATAGTTGCATATGTTAAAGGTTTAATTTCATCAAATGATAGTTTTAGTTATTACATATTATTAGCAAAAACATTTTAGGGAAGAGAATGCCTATTTATTACAAGTAACTAACTTAACAAATTTTCTTAATCTATTTAGATTAGTCAACTTTTTTTTATATTAAGAATGAAGATAGTAAAATTTAAAATTCTCAATTTAAACTAGCAATAAATAAGAAAATGATGGGAAGGACATGAAACGATTTTGCGGAGAGCATAATTAAAATCCTCTGAAAAAACCATTTATCGATATTAAATAAGCGTTGAAATTTTCAGCCTTGAGATTTTTTTCAGCCTTGAGATTTGAAAGCACATCAAACAACGAATGGAGCAATAAGTGACGTTGGGCGATGTTTGTTTGGACAGGTTTTGAAGACTCAGGAGTGGGGTGTTGTGGAACAGGCAGATTTGAGATGGGTTTTCTGTGCGATCCAAACAGTCCTTTCACCTGCCCTGATGCCAATAAATATGTATTCTGGGATGCCTTCCACCCTTCTGCCAAAACCAGTCAGCTTGTCTCTAATTATATCACTCAAACTCATCTTTCCAAGTTTCTCTGACATTGTTTTAATTTGTTTCTTTCTCATATATTTTCATAAATCTTGATGACCAAAATCACATTATCATTATTATAATAACTATTTTAATAAAATATCAGTCTTTAATTACTGTATTAATTATTATGCACCTGTGATTTTGGTTAACAATTTGTGTCTACAAGAAAATGTTACTTTATATATTGCTGTAATTTGTTTAGTAAGTTGAACAGATATCTGTTTTTTTATATTGTTATAATCCTGTCTTTATTTCATTATTTTTAATTTAATGAAATATCCAAAATAACTTTTTGTTTAGTTGTTAAAATTCTGAGAATTGGATATATATTTTGCTTGTATTTTTGGTTATCTTATAATGTGAAAGGCATTCTATAAATTTTTCGCTGAGCATCTGGAAAATGTGGAAGAAGGCATAGGAATTCCCATTTCTCTGTAAAGTAGTAGAGATATATTTATATTTATTGCATTTGTAATATCGTCTTATATATCATCACTATACAATGACAATTAATTCAATTATCTTTTTTTATTTATGGACACAAATTTTGATTTCATTTCATCCTATATGTATACCGAACAAATCTTAGACTATCGTTTATATTTAATGTTTACTGTTTAGAATTGTCTGAGAGTTGAATTACAAGTTTATAAATGTTGAACCGTTTATATATGTAGTGCTCTTATAGTTCTTAATATAAGATTTGATTAACTAATTTAAATATATCAAGAATGTTATCGTTAAATTAGTTAATATGATATGTTTTTTCTAAAATAGCTTAAGCATCTTCTTAATTCCCTCCCTCTCTTTCCTATTTAATTATTATTGAGGGAATATCAATAGAATTAATTTTAAAAAATTGATAATTATATGAAAAATCTTATATTTAAAACCAATATTAATTCTTCACTTAGATCGTACATTAAGGATAAGAGAAGTTGTAGTTGTTGCATGTGTTTTTTTTGACTCTCAAACTTTTTCTTTTGCTACATTTCATTGGTGTAGTGTTTTACTCAAGCAATGTGTATTAAAAGTCAGCGTAAATTAGGACATTACATATATAAATTTGATGGAAATGTGAAAATCATTTTCAGGAATTCAAAACTTGATTCATGGTATTATGAAAAGCTAAATCCAAATTCCGTACGGTTTCTAATATTGCTCTTACGCAAGTTTTGTCAATTTTGGGTCTTTGAGCAACATTAAAAGGCTTTAGAGGAGAGGCTTAACCTAGACTCTGTATTTGGGTTGAGAGGGAAACAATAGCTGTGGCCCATTTGTATTTTTTACCCGAGGCTTCCCAATGTCCACTACACAAATTAAAACGTCATGTTACCAATAGAAGTTAAATCTAACAAAAAGAACTAGTTCCTCACAAGATATTAAACTAAGGTTCGAATTTCCATTTAGAGAGGTACCCACATTTAGTGCCTGACAGTGTCTCGAATAGTATTATCTCCAATAGGAGGATACCTATTTTTTAGCAACAAAAAATTAAAACTTCATGTTTTGGAGTTTTGAATCGCACAGATTATTGTACATTTCATTACATATATTCAACATATTAATATAAAAGTACACCACAAATCATATAATGTTCATGAGTTAGAATAGTGTGACCCATTTCTCAAAAGTTCATATAACACGCAGAAACTGATTTAAATAAATTTAATTTCAAGCACAAAAAATATATATACGATTAATATTTTTTTATCTTTTATGATCAATTAATACTTAAAAGTAATTATAATCATGTTTATTTTTATTAAAGATCCATAAAATCTTTGAAAATCCACTGTTTATACAAACTAATTTGTCCCAGAAAAATATGCCACATTTATATCAAGAAGTCCATTGACTATATTGATGGGTTCTTTTTGTAGGGACTCTTAATTAAAAAGAAGAGTTGCCAAATTGATATATCAATCATACGAACAAAATCGTAGCCTGGATGAATGAGATGACAATACCTATATCAATTAGTAAGCTTGGTATGTTTTTTCTATTCATTGGTTGATATTGAAATGAGGAAGAAGATGGAAAAAGAGCTTGTTAGCTACGTTTGTTCATTGGAAGCAGCATTATTTAGTACATAAAATATTCTGATTATGACTTATATTACAGACAAATTAAATGAAATCCTAATCGAAGTACATCATGACTTATGATCCAACCTAAAGTGCACTACTTGTTTATCCATAACCAGCCAGGATGATTATTTATTCTTGCTCTCATCAGCCAACAGCTGCTTATTCTACAGTAACAGGATAATTCTTGTATTACAGCTTCAATAAACGCAACACTTGCTCAAATCACTGCACCAACATATTTGCTTTCAAACAGCGGTTGCTGGCTCTGTGACTCTTTTAAGTTCAAACGTCTTCTCATATTGTTCGATGGACTTGAACAGCTCTGAGAAGTTCCCTTTCCCAAAGCCTCCACATCCTCCCTTTTGATACACCTTCCCTCCCTCGTCCTTCTTCATGCACCCCACTCTCTGAATTATCTCCACAAACATGGTTGGCCTGCCCATTCATCTCACAGGTTTATATATATATATATGATCAAATAGGAAGAGGGGTATGACTAACTATATTACCTGTCTCCAACGGGCTTGGTGAAAATTTGAAGCAAAGTTCCCTCATGATCTCTATCCACCAGAATCCCCAGCTCCTCACACTGCTTAATTTGCTCATCTGTCAATACGTCACCGGCTCGATTCTTGAGATTGTTGTAATAAGTTGGAGGTGGTGGAGGCATGAACTCGAAGCCGCCTATTGAACTTCGCTGCCTCATTTCCCTCAGAGTTCTGAATATGTCTTCACTAACCAGAGCTAGATGCTGTAACCCAGCTCCTTCATTGTGTTCCAGAAATGTCTGTATCTGACTCTTCCTCTTCATCCCAAACACTGGTTCGCACAGTGCCAGGTAAATTGTTTCCTCATTGTTCGCCAACATCATCGAGTTCAACCCGCTCTCGCTCGTCCCCACGTCCTCCGTCGTGAACTCGGCGAACTCGTGAAACCCAGTAAATCCATGCACGTAATTCACCGCCGGAACCAGCTCTGGCACGTTACCAACGGCATGGTCGATCCCGCGAATCCCGTAGTCCAATGAAGGGTCGGAAGATAGTTCCTCCAAGGGTTCGAATTTGGGGAGGAACCAATTGCTGGGGTTCGGGTCGGACGCTTGAGACGGATCGTTGTAGCTGATATATCGCAAGACGACGTCGCCGTAGAGCAGAACCTCCGCCAACATGACCCCATTGTCGAGAAGAACAGGGGAGGCCGTTGGCTTGGAGCCATGGGTGACGCTAGTGTCAAATGCAAGTTTTGTGTTCTCGACTTCAAGTGCAATGGCCCTAACTGCTAGGCCATGGGAGGCAACGAAGGCGACGCAGGAGTCGCGGTCAAACGTGGGGATAGAAGCGGTGGATTTGGGTTCAATCTGCTGGGCGGCGGCGATGGACGCAGAGTAGGGAGCAGTGAAGACGAAGGAGAGGTCACCGGAACGGAGGAGATAGGAAGCGTGAGTAAGGTTACCGGTGAAAAGGTCGGATTTGGCTGTAAGGGGCATGCCGAGACCCCAGGAGAACCGGCGAGCAGTGTTGGTGGCGTCGGAGCACCAGAACTCGACATGGTGGAAACGCTTAACGTTGAAGCGATCTGATTTTGGGTTGGTTCGGACTAAGTTGGTAAACCCAACTAGCTTGAAACCAGACGCAAGACGGCTACTTTGAGCCGCCGTGGTTGCTGTGGGTTTCACTGGACCTCTGTTCTCACTTTTCTTTCCCATTGTTGTTGCTTCGGTGTTTGTCATCGTCATCGTCGTCGACTGCAACTAAATAGAGCGAACGGAGTACTGGTCTGGGGGCCACCACGATGAACCTGTAGTATCACAGGATTTTGTCGTCATTATTTTTCGGCGGTTTAATTAATAAGAGAATGACATGGTCGCATGAAAATGTCCTCATGCCAGTGCCATGAGAAAATGCAGATTTTTTTTTTCCGGGACAGAAAAAGCAGAACATTTACATAAATGTTCTTTACTCCAAGAGTTTCCAGCCAACATACATGACGCCCAGATCTACATTCATAAAAAAATGGTGAATTTTGTAGCCCAAATAGCCAAAGTTAGGGTGAATGTAGAGGGAGATTTTAAATTGTTAAAATAAAAAAATAAAAGTCTTTTATTTAATTTTTAGGGTTAAGGTGAAAATTTTCTCTGAAAGTTTTAATTCAGGAGTAATGCTGTGCCGTAATCTTTTCTGGATTCAAGATTATTTTGAAAGTATTAAAATATGGCAATATTATGAAAGTATTAAAATAGAGCAATATTGCTTTTAACATTAAAGATATTAATAGTTAATATCAATATTTTAAAATCCAACTTTAGTCTTTTAACAAAATGAGGTAGCATTACTACATTTTCAAGCGAAAATTCGGCTGCACTCCTTTAATCACCGGCACCCGTTGTGCTTTAACTTACGTTGGCAATTAAGGAATTATTGAGAAGAGGGTGATCAAAGCCTAAAGGTGAGATTTGATCCCTAAACCTTTTATTTTGTAAAAGATTTTACGATTGTTTTTTATGATTTTTATTATATTAATACACTTTAATATTGCCAGCAAAAATATTATCTAATAATAATAACTACGTACATTTTAGAATAAGAATAACAATTTTTGTGTTAAGAATGGCAAGTAGACTTTATAAATTAACAACTGTTATGCGGAAGAAAACGAGAAATTGAATACCAAGTATACTATGAGAAAATAACGACTTTGCTTTTAATTCTTTAAAATTTAATTTCGAAAATTCAGTAATTATGCATGAGTAAATTGGAATAGAAATGCTGCATCCGGTCTTAATATAAGAATTAGTTAACTAATTTGAGTAGATTAAAAAAATTAGTTAAGTTAGTTATTGTAATAAATAGGTATTATCTTTCCTAAAATACTCTTACTAATCATATGTATTAGCTAAAACCACCATTTGATTAAATTTTTAACATGTGCAATTTCTATAAGGATTGCATTGAAAAAAATAGAAATAAATTGAGATCTTATATTTAGAATTAAATTGAATGTTAAACAAGCTCTGATATTAAGTACTGGGGGTAGTATACTATAAAAAAACATAACAATTCTTCATCAATTGAATTATTAACAACTAATTAACAACTACTCTCCACAAAATCAAATGGAAAAATGACATAAAAAGAAGCTAAAAATTGCAATATAATATTCCAATCAGGCACCTAAGATTTCAAAATCCTAGGAAGAAAGTGATGTTTGATAAGGTATTTTGCAAATATAGTTAAATAATAAAAGTATCATTGTATCAAATGATTTGTTAATAAGTTATAAACTAATAACGATAAGTGTTTAACAACAAATGATAAGAAATGTGTTAGTAATGAGAAATTATTTACCAATAAACTGTGAAGTGACAATGATAAATAGTTAATAACAAGAAATGTACTGACAATAACAAATTTGTACATTTTTCTAAAAATATGATATAAAGACGTTTTATTTATTTTGACTACATTTGCAAAATACTAGATCATGCACTACTTTCTCCTTTGGGATTTTGAACTTTTAGGTATTTGAATTAGAATATTACACTTTCTAACTTCTTTTTATGTCATTTTGTTATTAATTCATAAGTAGTGATGGAATCATGGATAATTTTGACCAATTTATTAAGCCAAATCTCCACATGGCCAAGCCATATAAGGAATGACTTACAAGGAAAGATTAATTCACAGAGGCTTAATAAGAATTTAAGTAAAATATTAGTGTCGAAAGTACAATTTTCCCATAACAACTGGCACGCACAGGCCCATGATGGATGGAGTTTTTTTTTTTGGCTAAAGCATAGGTATCTTTCTATTTGAGGCACTGTTGGTCACTAAATGTGAACACCTCTTCTAGCAGGAATTCGAACATTGATTCGTCATGTTATGAGAGAATAATCCCTTTTGCTAGACCCAATCCCCGTTGGTGGAGTTTTTTTTTTGCTAAAGCATAGGTATTCTCCTATTGGAGGCAATCATATTCGAGACACTGTCGGGCACTAAGTGTGAGCACCTCTCCCAGCGAAAATTCAAGTCTTAGTTCGTCACGTTGTAAGGAGATAGCCTTTTTTGTTAGACCCAACCTCTGTTGGTCGGGAGTCGACAATTTCTAAGGACCCACCTGTCAAATCGAACCCGGGCCCATGTCATTTATGGGCAGCGACCGGCCCATTAGAACAAGAGTCAGGAAATACTATTAAATAATTAATGGAACAATGTTATGCTATTCGTATGCTTTGTAATCCCAATATACGCTATCTTCAATGAAAGGGGCGCCATACAATATTTAATTGAAAAATTACATGAATTTTACGATAAATTTAATATTTTTAATTATTTTAATTGGTACGTATGAATTAGTTAGTCACTTTTTATAATAAGAACAAGAGGAAATAGTTCCTAATAATCCCAGCACACAATTTAAATGCTATTGAAAAAATTTCAAGTTGGTGAACACATCTTATTCTTTTATTATTTAAAGGTATCTGAAACTTGTTTAAGAACTTAAATGTAGCTTATTTTTAATAAGTGCAACTTTTGTTCGGTTATGTAGAACCTATTCTCAACTACATATAAAATAAAAAAAGTTATACGTAGACATATTGCACAAAGTTGAAAAAGAGTTACATATCCTCAATTCAAGTCCTTTCAACCAAATTAAAAAATTTTTCCAAATAGGAACATTCAATAAGTTTTCCAATTTAATAATTTATAAGAAAATAATTGGATTTCAACACTTAGAAAATCTTCTAAAAAATTGAATTTTCCCAGATAACGAATCTCAATCAACACAGTGTAAATATATAAATTAAGCTCCAACTCATGTTATAATAAGCTTTTTTGTCTTGTGGCATATATAATATTGCTTAATATTTGTTCCTTTTACACAATGCACCATCAAGTTTAACAAAACAACATAGATGTTCAACTTCAGTCTACTTAAAACCTACGACAACCAGGTCATTCAACAACACAAAACAAGCAAATCCAACACATAGAGAAAGCATAAAACATCACTAATAAATAATGTTCCACATTAATCTACATAGATACTACCTCTTGTCTTTAATATAAAAGTTATGTAACTAATTTGAAAAGATTAAAGAAATTTGTTAAACTAGTTGTTTATAATAAATATATGTTGACTTCTCTAAATTACCATATGTCCTTATTATACATCGGTACTTCATTTTGGTGGAAACCCTTTCCAATTAATAGAGATATTTTGAAGAAAAAATATTATAAATTTAGAAGACAAAGTAGAGTCAAATCTAACTCCCAAATTCTCTTTTATATTTAATAGCAGAGGTTGTATTCAAGCCAAGATCACCCAACAAGATCCAATACATTTCAAAACCGAGAACCAGATCACTAATACAACATCATGTGATGAATACAGACAACAAGAAGGTAAGAAAGCAAAGAGAACACTACGTCTAGTCCTCGACATCATATTTTCTTAACTAATTTGGATAAATTAAAAAGTTAGTTAATTATAATTATTTGTGAAAAATGTGTTAATTTTTCTCAAGTATTTTTGTTAAATCATTTGCATTTAAACTATCTTTTTAATTAAACTACCCTTTTAATGCAAATTCTTTTAATATGCACTATCAATATGGATAATTTGGGAAGGAAAAAAAAATATGGAAAACAAAATAAATTAAGTTCTTATATTTAGAATTAAATTCAACTTTTAACTAACTCTTATATTAATACTAGATATATTGTAACATGCTTTGCATATTTCCAACATCTTGCACGTTGCAACCCTACATAGACAAGAGCAAATAGTCTGGTTTGGTGTTTAGTTTCGGTGTTGTTTTGCTCACCTCCATTCTTGATCGTTTACATGTCCCTTTTTTGTAGTATATTACTACTCTCTAATAGATTTTTTTTTATGTAACTAAAATTAAAACAGTTTTATTTTGGAAAAAATCTGCATGGATTTGTCTATAAAAATAAGTCATGAAATGTTATTAAAGTCACATAAATATTTTTATAATTTTTTGATATAACTATACGATATCCAATACTATTAGATCAAATTTAATTATTATTAGGTCCACGGAGATATTTCTTTCAAAAATATTTTCTGCATTAAAACAAATTTAATCATGAGATTAAAGCAGATATAGCCATTTTTATTAGGCCTAACACATGTTGGCAACCATTTCAATAATTTCACATTTCAAAAAAAAAAAATCCCAAAATATACACAAACTTGTCCTACAGTATAAGTAACAAATGTATAATTCAATATAAAGTTCAGACTATATTTATTCGATTTTTTGTTTCATAATTCATAGGTGATCAATAAAATTTTTAAAGGTAAATAGCAAGTTTGTGTAATTTTAAGGAAAAAAAAAATAATTTTATAACATTTATATATATAAATATAAATGTTCTAAATTAATGTATATAATTCATACATATTATTGCAACGGTTAATGTACGGGAAGAGAGGCTTATAATTTTGCTGTATATTTGAGTGAATATCGAATTGAAAAAAATTTGCCATGGAAAGGAAACTGAGAAAGCAACCATCATTCTGAATTTAATATGCAGCTTTCTTAAAGAGCTAAATTTCATTAAAAAAAAAAAATGAAGAGATTTGGTCTCTCGCCACACTTTCATTTGTAACCCTCTCTTTCATTATTCTTTAAATGAGACACTTTCCTTTTTATTTTATTTTATTTTATTTTATTTTATTTTATCAAAAGTAAAACTCATTTTTTTTGTTTAACACAAGGAGTAAGCTCCACGAACAATAAAGATTGGGCTTGTTTGGTTTCTGATTTTGAAAACAATTTTATGTTTTCAAAAACAAGAAAGCAAAAACCCTTGTTTGGTAATTTTTTTAGTTGGTTGTTTTGCAAAATAAAAAAAGTAACATGTTTTTAAAAACTAAAAAATCAAAACAACTTTTACATATTTTTAATATTTTTATTTTTATGTTTTCATTTTTTTGCTTTAAAAAATTAAATAAACCTTCTTTTCTTCTTACCTATTAGTTGTTACCTATTACCGGTGACAAGTGACAACCATCAACTGTGTGTGATCTTTTTATTTTTTTTTTAAATTATTATCCAAACAATTCTTTTATTTTTGTTTTCAAAAGTTATTCTAACAAACAATTTTATAAAATTATTTCTGACAAAACAAAACAAAAACAAAAACAAACAGCCCTGTATTCCCAAGATATTGAGGGCAAAGAATTAAACCCATATCATTCTTTTAAAAAAAACAAAGAAAGAAATTAAACCTTTCCAAGAGCGGAGATTTGAATGCCCAACCCCGTGCTTAGTGACAAGAGCCCACGCCATGTTCAGCGGAACCTGACTGAAAGGGTTACGCATATCTATGACGACATGGGCCCGGCTTGAAACTTTAGAGGGAGAGGGATTCTCATTCCTTCGTTCTTTTATTAGCTTAATGAGTATCATCCATGCTCAAAATTAATTTCCATTCTGTTTTACATTCCGTTCATTTCCATTCTATAAATAAATTAGTCTTCTTTCCACCGTTCCCTGAGAATTCCGATTCAAAGCAGATTTTCACGATTGCTCTCAAACTGACCAAGAACAATTTGCTCCATTTGTGTCATTATAGTGCATGATGGGCAATCAGAAGCCAATAATGCTGATATTGTCACCACATAACTACAGGACCAACACAACTAAAAAATAAATAGTCTCTAGACTTTAGCTGTGTTCCTAAACAAGTCTAGTTTAGCAAACATCTAGACAAATATTCGAGTGGTTAGTCTTGGGCAAGTTCATTAGAGGCTGACTGAGAACAGTTAATGTTGGCATCCTTTATTGCTTTTCTTTGCTTTTCTGGCAATTTTTCCGATTCCAGTGTGTTTCACTCCAGTGTAGCAATTTTGTTCAAGAAACCTCTCTAAATATTGTTGTCTCCCTCACAAGGGAGCAGTTTATGAATGTAAAATCTCAAGACTCTGAGGCACTCTGCTCAGAATGTTTCTGTTCAGTTGATTGAAAAAGAAGATGGGAAAGGGTTTCAGCCACCAGAAGTAAAAGCATTATGGAACAAGTAAAAGCTTTAACATAGTATTGCTACCAGAACATACTCCAAAAGCAAAAAGCATAGACGACATCAAAAATTCTGTTTATATGTTGCTTGCGGAAACCTGCAGACTAATGCTAATTAAGTAGCACATCAGATTAATTTATTTTCCCATCTCTCTTATCACAAGTCCAAAGTGCATTATCTATAGACATGATAAGGTGGGCAGTTCTTCTATCTTGACAAACATAGTAAGAAATACAACAATTGTTTATCAACACAGAATATCGTATATCCATATTCCATCATTTCTATAGGTGAAGACAGTGCTCATACAGTATATATTCTTGTTTCAGCCAGTGTCTATACAGTAACAGGGTGATTACAGCTTCAAGAAATACTTCATCCCCAGATCCATACGTACTTTCAAGCAATGGTTTGTTCTGGTTCTGCTAGTCTTTTAAGCTCAAGCGTCTTTTCATATTCTTCGATGGACTTGAACAGCTCAGAGAAGTTTCCTTTCCCAAAGCCTCCGCATCCACCCTTTTGATATACCCTTCCTTCCTCATCCTTGAGCATGCACCCAACTCTCTGAATTATCTCTATAAACATGGTTGGCCTGCCCATTCAACACAGCAAAAGCATTTTAACTCACAGTGCTATCTTACACTATGTTATTCCAGTAGAGAAGCTCAGAGGCTAAATGATGACTAGATAAAAAGAGGTTAGGTGATTAGAACCAGCTTGGAATAGCAGATATTATCAAGAGAGAATGTGCACAAAATGCCTATATTTCCTCCTCTAAACTCCTTCCATCCTACTTTATTCAGGCCAAGCACATCCCTAGACTCCTATGAAGCACTCAATTCAGTATAGTCACGTACTCATATATTCATAGAGATTGATCGAAAAAGAATAAACGTAGACGGGACTTTTTTCTCTCTCTTTACATTCATCTTTTTTCTTTTTATCTCTGTAAAGTATAAATCATACACAGATACTTCAAATTTCAGTACTCGTAAACCTATATTAATACTGCACATCTTATTGCGTCACAACTCTAGTTGATGTTGGTATCAGTGACTTTCCGCATAACTTTGAACTCCAACTATTGAACTTCCAACAACAGTGATATAAGTTGGTTGATCAGATAAGTCTGCTAATGCTAGTTTCCGTCTTTCAATTAAGTGTTGTATAAATGATCAACATCAAGGTAAATTATCCCCCAGAAAAAGCACTGCTGTTATTCCCAGGCAGGAAAAGTGATAAGACTAATTACCTATCTCCAACAGGCTTAGTGAAAATTTGAAGCAAAGTTCCTTGATCATCTCTATCTACCAGAATCCCCAGCTCCTCACACTGCTTAATCTGCTCATCAGTCAACACATCCCCCGCTCGATTCTTCAGATTCTTGTAATACGTCGAAGGTGGGGAAGGCATGAACTCGAAGCCACCTACGAAACTTCTCTGCCTCATTTCTCTCAAAGTCCTGAATATGTCTTCACTCACAAGCGCTAGATGCTGGAGCCCTGCTCCTTCGTTGTGCTCCAAATATGTCTGTATTTGACTCTTCCGCTTTGTCCCGAACACTGGTTCATTCAAAGGCAGCAAAACCATTTCGTCATTGTTCGCTAAAACCATCGAGTTCAAGCCACTCTCATTCGTACCCACGTCCTCCGCCGTGAACTCAGCAAACTCGTGAAAACCAGTGAATGATTTCACATAATTCACAGCTGGAGCCAGCTCCGGCACGTTACCCACCGCATGATCGAGGCGCCTAATCCCGTAATCCAACAGCGGATAGGACGAGAGCTCCTCCACAGGTTCAAATTTGGGCAAGAACCAATTATTAGGGTTCGGGTCGGATACTTGAGACGGGTCGTTGTAGCTGACATATCGCAACACGACGTCGCCGTAGAGGAGAACTTCGGCGAGAATCACTCGGTTATCAAGGAGAACAGGGGAGGCCGATGGCTTGGCGCCATGGGCGACGCTTGTGTGAAATGCAATTTCTGCATTCTCGACTTCAACTGCAATGGCCCGAACTGCCAGGCCATGGGATGCGACAAAGGCGAGGCAGGATTCACGATCGAACGAGGGCATAGAGGCGGTGGAGTTTGGTTCCAGGTGCTCGGCGGCGGCAATGCACGGAGAGTAAGGAGCAGAAAAGAGGAAGGAGAGGTCGCCAGAACGGATGAGATAGGAAGCGTGAGTAAGGTTGCCGGTGGAAAGGTCGGATTTCGCTATAAGAGGCATGCCGAGACCCCACGAGAAGCGGCGAGCAGTGTTGGTGGCGTCGGAGCACCAGAACTCGACATGGTGAAAACGCTTTACCTTGAATCGATCGGATCTTGGATTGGTTCGGACAAAGTTTTTGAACCCAACAAGCTTGAACCCAGCAGCAAGATTACTACCCGGAGCTCCAGTGGCCGCCGTCGCCCTCGCCCTCGCCGTTACCGTCACCGGAGCTCCGTGGTCGCTTTCTTTTCCCATCGTTTTCCTGGTTTATTCGTCTCTCCCGGATACCGCTGTCCTCTGCAACTATATGCTGGCAGAGCTAGTGGCGTTGGCAGAGACGTGGCTGAAGGGAATGTTCAGGGTCACGACACGCGGCGAATTATAATTGGTGGGAAATAAAATTCAAAATTGGAAACGTGCCGTGTCTGTATTGCTGACGATGGATAAGTCAAACAGGGAGGTGAAGATGTACCTCCGTGTCCGGTTAGATCGATGGAAAAAGCAAGAAAAATAACTTATAGATAAGTAAAGTTGGTAAAAATTAAGTTAGATAAGCCAAACAGAAAGGTGAAGATTTACCTTCAGCGCAGCGTTGGACTTGTTGGATACCAGAAAAATAACACTAGAGTGTTAGAAGTATTAAAACTAAGATTAAAATATTGAATACAGAAATAATATTAAAGTGTTGGATACTACTTTAATTTTATATTCTTCCTATTTTTAATACATGACCTAATTAAAAAGTTAATGTTGACTCTAAACCTATTTGATATATTTATCAATTTTTTTCAGATTAATTTTATTGATATTTCTTCAATAATAATTAAATAGGAGAGAAAGAAGGAAAAAGAATTATGGAAGATGTTTAAAATGTTTTAAAAAGAACACATCATATTAATTAATTTAGTAAATATTTTTAATCTATTCAAATGAATGAATTAGGTGATACGTTAAGGAGGGGAGTATTTACTCTTGAGATTATTTCTTATATATGGTTTGATTTAATTTAGTTATCTAAAAATCCAGACTATTTATTGTTTACTATATATTTGTCATATACATCCGCCCATTCCTTGCGGCTAAGGCTTATCCTTTGCATTGAAGTGTTTAACGTTATCTTTTTCGCGTCTAACACCATAATGGAAACTAGATGTAACACGGATGTTGTTATCAGCAACATAAAATATTAATTTTTAATAAAGTTTGGGACGTGGCACGTGATTTTCAATTGGAATCCCCATGTGCCAACGATTCGGCTAAACATTACTCTTTTCGACTCTTTTTATAATCAACAGTTATTATTCTCGTTTCGTTGTTAAATATAAACAATATTTATAAGTTGTTTTAAATTTTTGTAATAAATTTTTTATTTTATCCCATTAATTATTTATTTTAATATTTAATATATTTATTGTTTCATTTTTCAAACCATCATCTCTCTATCACACATTCTCTCCTTTCATAATTTTCTTATTGTAGTAATTTTTTTATTCTTTTTTTTATACTCTATTTTCCCCATAAATAAGAGTATTTTAGATTAAAAAAATTTTAATTTTTACTTATTTATTATCTTTAACTAACTTTTTTATCTACATAATAGAGTCATATACTTCTATGTTACTTATAACAAAGGACAGAGGGAGTACCATTTTCACATGATGTCTTGAAAAACTCGTTTAGAATGATTTATAAATAATTTTTTAATCATGATTTACAGGATCTAGATAAATATTTAAGAAAATTTTTATCTTAACTTGTGTAAAATATACTTCTAGATACTTATATAAATGATTCCAAAGGATGTGGGAAGACAGCCAGAGGGAGTAGGAGACGAAATTGAGTGCAAATTATTTTTTCCTGCCATCATTCATTTAAAACATGAGGTCATATATTCTGGCAAAAAAAAAGTGTATATATACTAAGGGGGAGGAGCAATCCTGATAAATAAAATCAAAGGTCTACCTCTCTTCTTTGCTTTCAAAATCAGATTTATAAACATCATCATCAAACAATAACCTGACACAATACAATGCAAAAGGAATAATGAAAACTCAATAATACTCATTTTTTTCGGGCTGCTTTTTTTGGGGTTGAGCTGGGCGTTTTTTCTTGGGCTTGGACAGGCTTGATGAACACCCCTAATGAAAACTCACAATAACGGTGTGGTGATGATGATGACAAAAAGTGGAAGAGACTACTATAAAACTTGGGGGAAAACTGGAAAAGAGGATGAAGGTTCGAATGAGATGGGGCAAGAAAGGATTGTGACGGTTTTGTGAAAATGAGAAGTAAAACTGTCAAAACACAATGCAACTATGTTAAAATTTAAATTGATTTGACTTGGGTTGGTTTTTATAACAGACCTTATAACCCAAAACAACGTCATTTTTGTCTAAATGACATTGATTCTCGATGTTTTTCATCAGTTTTTGTCTTGTCAAGACTTATCATGTCGATTATTCACATAAGCAACGTTAAAGCTCTTCAAAATATTACAAAAATGTCACAATCTTTTTTAACTTAGATTTACCAAATAACTGACGTTAAAGACATGTGTTTTAAGTATATTTTGTAGTAGTGATGGCTCCCAAATTCTCCATCATTCAAACCCTTTGTTTTAGACCGCTGTGTTTTACTACAAATATAATCACAACAACAAAGATGCCCCAACCCTTGCTTTTCAATTCATCCTTCATTGTCATCCTTTCAACTATAAATCGAGAGAACCACTAGTACTATCTCAAACCAAACCTCGACATCGAAATCCATGGAGGCATCTATCGAAGGTCTTCTTTGGGGGGCCTTCACATAGGACCAAGCTTTGGAAGCCCCCTCTCATCCACCCACCTAGCCTCCTTGATCACCATCTTCAGAAAACACAGTCCTAATTAGTACAACTAAGGGCCATATCTTTGGGACACGAATAAGAACCTTGACCAGAAGAGGAGAAGAGACCCTCCACACAGGAAAAAAAAAGATGGAAGAAGAAGCGAGAAGCCAATGCTGTATCAACACTATTACCACAATAAAGGGAAAGGGAGATTCATTTGCCTTCTTGAATTTATTTGTGCAAGGAGTCTGTATATGAATATGTACTCCTCCCACATTGTTAATATTGTCATCCTTGCGAAACCCTTAGTCAATCCCCCTTTTAAAGTGTTTAAAAGGAAAAGGTTGGAGATGCATATTAGTTTGGAAATAGATGGGATATTAGCTTGTAAGAAGGTTCAATTGGTTCCTCAGCATGCAAATAGACAGATGATTGGTCTGCTGCAGATTCAAAAGGTACTACAGTTCAAAAGAGCTCAGCAAGTGATTAATCAGCCGGGTAGGGTTTTTCTCTTGATAATGGCTCAAGATGCCAATCTGCTTAGACTTTTGCAAGGACAGGGTAGTGCTCCTTCCATGTTTCAAGCAGTGTTATTCGACTTACAAAGTTTGTTATCAAAATTTGACAAGTTGTTTTTATATAATGTGAAGGTTTATTAAAAAAAAAATGCTAATCCCCTTTTTGTCAAAGTGTGTATAAGTATACTTTATTGTTAGCAATGGGCGTACCTATTACTATCCACCATGGCGTAGGGGCAGCTGCCCCACTAACTCCCCATCTTACCAAATGCTATGTATTTTAAATAGGACATTTATTGTTTACCCCACTCCACATTACACACACAAACCCATATATACATATGTGTGTGTGATTAGGATTAAGCCACATTCAGCTTCTGAAGTATTTTTTCAGGTTCATTTTGCATTATAAAATATTTTATAGTATATTTAGTACTCTGAATTTTTTTTAAAATGCGTTTAGCACCCTAAAGTATTTTTTAAATGCTTCCAACACCTAAAAATATTTTTTTGGTGCATCCAATGCCAAGGCAAAAAAAATACTCCGCGGTACTGGATGCACCACAAAATACTTTTTTGAAAAAAGACTTTGAGGTAGTTGATCCATCTTAACCTTATATGATTATGTATATATGTTAAAAAATACATCCCCTGTAAATTTCCCCCCCAGAATCATCATATTTTTTAAGGAAAATTTCAACTAAGGACTGCAATTGGCAATTAATTTCAAACAGCCTCCAAAAATTCTAAAATTTCATTGAAGAATTCTGAAATTTTATTGAAGGATGCAGGGGCAAACTGAAATTAATTATATAACATATTTTACAGAAATGCCATGCGAAATGTGATGTGCTGAAAAGGAAGAAGAAAGAAGGAAAAATGAGAACCTAGCACTAGTTCTTCCCATAGAAACTGTAACTCTGCCTTACGGTGTGGTGTCATGATCATCTCTAGTACTTGGCACGTGAGGTAAAATATTTTTTCTGAAATTCTCGTTCTGTTGAGCTGACTTGTTGAGTATAGTTGGGTTGTGATGGTAGAATAATGTAGAAATAAGTGTTTAAATGCATAGGTAAATAGGTAATGAGAGAGGAAAAATTTGATGGCGCTTTTAAGTTTAGAAAGAAATTGTTATCGTCTTCTTGTTTGAAGTTAATAAACACAATGTGTTAGTGATGTTTGAAAAGTGGATGAGAATGGTGAACACTAACTGTAATGCGTTGTTGAAGGAACTTAGGGACGGAGAAATGAAAGGAAAATGGGTGAATGTACTGAAATGGGTGATATGAAAGCTAAATGTGCAAAGAAATGATAACTTGAAGTTGTGAAAATATGTATTTGGATTGTAAATTTGAAAATTAGAATTGTACAGGAAAATGACAATTTAATGTTGTGAAAACTGTATTTCTGTTGTAAAATCGCAAATTCCTATTGTTAACGTATGCTGTTTATTATTATTGAAAGTTGATTGAAATTGATAGATGAATGATGTCTATCAACGGATTATAAATGGCTACTATTGGTGGAAAACAATTATTTATATCTTCTATGTGGGAAGAGAATTTGTGAAGACCTTAGAAAGAAAATTGATATATGAAGAGGGTATTATAAGTGGAAGATTGATTAGAGAAGGGATGATACATGTAATACCTTACATAATTATATCCATATATTCAATAGAATATTTTATTTAAAAGTTTATACATTACTAACACTTCAAACAAGTCATAATTTCAAAATATTTTTGTGATATAACAAAATAAAATAAACTATTGAAATCTTATAGTCATGACAAATAAAAATATAAAATAGCATGTGCTTGAAAAGCATAGAAGCCTTCACGGCTCACTCTATCGGTGCCTTCCCTTGATTCCTATTAGATCCTTTGTTTGAAAATGTTAGGAATAAGATCAAACGTCTCAGTAACTACTAAAATTCTAACCTATACAAGTAAACCATATATGATAAACAAAAATTCATTTATATGTGTGTGTGTGTGTGTGTGTATTTATATATGAAAATCACATATTTGATACATTCAACTCGATTTCATTTTTGGTTCAACAATATGCCAATATCATTTTTCCAATATGTCCAAAAATAATGCAATATTCAGCCTCCCTTATATCACCGTCCACCCTTAAACCGCTGATTGGAGCCATAGGCTAACATATAGTCTAATAAGAACTAATCTATTTTACTGAATTATTCCAAGCTCACCGATACTAGAGATATATCTAACCAAAGATATAGAGTTGAAACTCAGATTATAACTCCCCTCCTTTGCAAAAAAATTAAGGAGGTGTTATATGTCTCACAGCTCCAATTAATTCCTAGCTAAAGGAAAACATAGAAAAAGGGGCCTTAACAAGTGTCATCCACTGTGCACCGAGTGATGACATATCATGTGGTAATTTATATCCATATAAATCTCCTTCTATCCTTAGCCTAACAATGCATATGTTAGATGCAAGTAATGTTACATCCTAAATACGTCCTCAAATATATTATTAAAAATAAGATAGTAATAAAATTTTTGTATCATTTAACAACAACTCATGATAATCCCATAGATATCAATATATTTAAAAAATCATAATATTATATTTTAGTAATATAAAAATTAGTAAATCCATAATATAATCATATACAATTCGCATGTACAAGAAAGAATTTTCAGAGTTATTTGGTACTCTTTAGCTTACAAATATTCATACAAAGATTACTTCAAAATTCTCAAGCGTCTACAAAATTACACATAAATATTTATTAATATAAAACTCAAAACTACTCCAAAACTACTCTAAAATTCTAAGACTACCCTCTAAACCAAAATTACATAAATATATTAACTCTCTCAAATCTAGCCATTTATAATAGATATAATGCATGGTAGCAAATGGTGTTTGGCCAGGCAATAGTCAATATAAAATGAAGTACATAGTTAACTTTCATATCACCTATTTCAGCACATTCACCCATTTCTTTTTCATTTTTCCCTCCCTAAGTTCTTTCAACAATGCATTACAATCAGTGTTCACCTATTTTCACCCACTTTTCAAAAATAACTAGCATTTTATATTTATTAACTTCAAACAAGAAGATGATAAAAATATCTTTCTAAACTTAAAAGCGCTATCAGATTTTCCCTCTCTCACTACCTATTTACCCATACATTTAAACACTCATTTCTACATTATTCAACCATCACAACTTACCTATGCTCAACAAGTTAGCTTAATAGAACAAAAATTTCAGAAAAAATATTTTACCTTACACGCCAAGCACCAGATATGATCACAACACCACATTGTAAGGCAGAGTTATGGTTTTTGTCACTTCCACCAACATTGAGGATGACTTCCCACAGACGGCCGATGGATGCTTCTTCAGATTGACCATCATCCATTGCATTTTCTCAGCTCATTCTCGTCGATCACCTCTCTTCATCACTATATGGTTATGGGAAGAGCTGCTGCTAAGTTCTTCTTTTTCTCTCTTTTTTCTTCTTTTTCAGCGCATCACATTTCGCAGGGCATTTCTATGAAATAGATTATGCAATTAATTTTAGTTTGCCTTTGGCTCCTTTAGTAAAATTTCAAAATCCTTCTGTGAAATTTTAGAATTTTTGGGGGGCTGTTTAAACTAATTGCCAACTACAGTCCTTAGTTGAAATTTTCTCAAGAACAAAAAACCAGACCAGATATTAAACCGGTTGAGGTAGTAGTTTAAGTGTCAATTGGTTAGAGCGAAATCAACTCAGAATCCAACGGTCATATTAAAATAATATAATTTAATTAAAAATAACAAAATATAACAACATTAATAATTACTAATAACAAAATATAACGAAATATAACAATAATTTGATTGTAATAATGATAAAGTATAACAATATTAAGAATTTTGATCTTTATGGTTTACCACTAAATAAAATTAACAATCATTGAGACCAAAATCATCATTAAAATTCATTTAAATCTATAAGGGGTGAGATATTGGAAGCTGAATGAGAAAAAATAGGACTAATAACAACATAATCATCCAAAACGGTTCATTACCGATTTTCACTGGTTTGCTCTAGTTTGACCGGTTCGCTACCCGTTCAACTCCCCTCCAGTTTAACATCCAAATTGAATCGGACTACTAGCCGATTCACCGGTTGAATCGATTGGTTCTATCGCGTTTTTTGTTCTATGAGATTTTCCCTATTTTTTATAGCCAAAACTTGTCCTTTAACATTTAGGGGTTAAATAACTTCTCTTTTTGGTCCATAAATTACAAAAAAAATACTCCTCTAATAGTTAATATAAGACATAATTTTTAAGTTGATTTTGATTCTTAATATAAGACATATTTATCATATTTATCAATTTTTCTTATATTACTCATATTAATATTCTCTCAATTATAATCAAATAAGAAATAGATGGAGGATATTAAGAAAAATGATTATGGTGTTTTAGAACAAACATATCATAATTTTTTACAAGAGATAAGATTTATTTTTGTCCTGAGAGTTGTTCCTCAAGAGCTGTGGGTATCTAAAAAAAATTTTAGTAGCAATGTCACCCAAATTTAACACCCCCCAGTGGTCAAATGTTAGCTGACCCATTATGCTAATTTGGCCTGCCTAGGTGGCATCCACCTCACTTTTTATAAGTCCCACGGCAGGGAGTGGTCCATGTGGTAAAATTCTTTTTGGCTTCTCTTTCTTCCGGCGGCACCATTCAATTCCCCTTCCTAGCTTCCGGATGAAAATTGGGATCAAGATAAAAGTTCTGAAAGTTCCATAAATTGGCCTCTTCATATGAACAATCCCAAAACTTCTCTCCACTTCCTATTTCACGCCCTTCAAACTCTTGATGTTCCCTTTAGTTGGGGGGGGGGGAGTCTCCATGTTCTTCACTAGTCTTTCCCTTTGCAATCGCGTCCCATCATTTTCTGAAGTTCCGCTCTTGTATCCTTTGTCTGGTTGCCAACGTCCTCTCCTTAATTCTGTGTAGATCGCTAATGATAGCCTCAGATCTGGAGCTCTATGCGTCCTCTCTGTGTAGTCTCCGGCATTCAAGGGAGAAGACGGGTACTTTTAGCGAACCAATGTCCTCTTTGATGAACCCTTTTGATTTTGAAACAAGCATGCAAATGCGAACTGTTGACTAGTTGAGATTTGAGACTATTGCTATAAATATGAAATTAGTATACCATACATATCTTAAAGAACAACGAGAAGAATTGAAGATTCCGTCACCGAGACGATGAACAATGATTGAAGAGGGGTTCTTGAGTTGAATCTCCAGAGTCCGATGAACCAGTGTCCTCTAGTTCTTTGTTTTTTTCTCCCCCCTCTTCTATAGAAAGCCCTTTTCAGCTCACAATCCATGTCAGCATAGTGGGTCAACAAGAAAAATTTAAGAGTCAAAATTAACTTCTTTAACGGTGAGGATAACATTGCTACGTTCTAACAACTTTCAGGGCAAATTGGATCTTATCTCTTTTTATAATTTACTAATTTAGCTAACTTTCTTAGTATAATTAAATTGGTTAAATAGATCTTTTGTTAAATACCCAAGGAGTCTTACGTTTGAAGTGGATGTTATAGAATTAAAATTTAAATTTATGATAAATTTTAGTAGCTAACAAATGGTTTTCAATTGAACTCTCTATATACAAACGAGCAGGATAACAACATTTATACCGGTGGTGAGATTTTATATTAAAATACCAACCACTTGCTTGAATAAAAGAAGTATCCATACTAACAGAGACTGAGTCTAATGAAAATTTTTTACAACATAGCAAACTAGAATTTAAATTTTTACTGGTAGATATACTCATATTTAGTGTCTATCAACATCTCAAACAGAACTATTTTCAATTTCAATTAGAGAATATCTGTGCTTAACAGGGGGGGAAGTATCCATCTTTCTGCATTAATAAGGGTCAGCCCTGTGTAATCTATGGTATGTTTATATTTTTATATATTAACATGGCAAAATCACTTTAAAGTCGCAAGAGATTTTAATATTAAAAGGTTTCATGAAATATTCAAATAATTTTGAAGAGGTTTCAAAGTACTATCTGGTCCTAATTATAAGACTTAGTTGACTAATTTAAAAAGATTAAAGAAGTAAATTAAGTTAGTTATTTGTAATAAATATGTGTTGTCTTTCCTAAGATATCCTTACTAATTAAGTATATTGCCTAGAACTATTATTATTAAAAGGACTATCTTAGGGAAAAAAAAAACATAAATATGAGAAACAAAGTGAATTGGTATTTTATATCTAGAATCAAAATAAAAGTCAAATAATGTCTTATATTAAGAACCGGAGGTAGTACCTAATTGTGAAGATTTTAATTGAGCAATTATGGAACTACCCTCATTCATTTACAAGAAAATTAAAGCTGAGAGAAGAGTCCGAAGCTTCTCATTGCATTGGCACAATTGCGCAGCCTCTCACCTATGGCTTCTCATTTACACTGCTCACCTCAGAAAGCTGCAGTGTCATTATTTTATTTAAGGGAAAATTATCCCGCAGTTACACATATTTTTTTTTCTTAATTTTTAATTTGGTATATATATCTCTTTTTTCCCCCCTCTCGAATAAACAAATGAAAAAAAAAGGGGATCATTTCACTATTGGCTGGCTTTACGTGGGCTTCTAACTCGGCGGCCTCCAACACGCGAGTTAACCGATATTATTGGTTCTAATCTTAACTTTCTTTTTGGCCAATGGCGTTCTAATCTTAACTGAAGAGCAATAGTTAAGTTGTTAAATTTACCAGCGCTAGGTGAATCAAAATTTGAATTCTCACTAAGAGATATGTTCAATAATATCTTCAATAGGATTGCTTCTAATAGGAAATACCTGTATTTAGTAAAAAAAATTTGTTTAAAAATTAAAAAAAAATCAAAGTTATTCTTATTCAAACCATGAATTACACTATGAGAGAAGTTAAAAAGAAAAATTACATTAAACAATAGATAAGAGCAATCTTAAAAGATATTATTAATAGTTTACTTAGTTACTTATGATAACGATGGCTCATTTCTTAAAAAAAAAAAAAAGACGTGTCTTTAGGGATTGGATTCGTAGTAATTAAGGTGGACCGAAAACTAATGAGATATTCAAAGATATGATGATCTGTTTTTATATAAAATATGCTACTAAGTTATATTTCTTATATGTTTTACTATTACCACCCAACTTTTTATTTTGAAAACTATTTTGGAAGTAACTATATTTTTTTTAAATTTTTAATTTGATACTTATATGTGTTTTCTTTTAATTAAATTTTTAATTTTAATCTATTAACATTATTAACCCTTTCATAGAGATTAAAAATATTAATAGAATAAGGTTATAAGAGTTAATATCACTAAAAAGATAAAATTAAACAATTTAATTAAAAAACATATAAGCATTAAATTAAAAATTACAAAAATAATATACATACTTCTAATATGGTTTTTTCTTTATTTAGTATAGGAGATGTACGGTAACTCTCAAAAATATTTTTAAGAAGTATTTTTTTCATAAAATGAGTAAAATATTTTATATGTTTATTTTGTAAATTGTAGAAATATTTTTGAAATCATAATTTCGTACCATCCCAACACTTTTATAATTCAACATGTGTAATTCATTTTCCAAGTTTAATCATTGCCACGTCTTTCCAGGCCCTCCACAACTAGCTTGCACCCCGACAGCCTGCCAGCTTCTGCCTTTATAGCTCTGCTGTGTCTGTATAATGACGACGCCACGAATGAAAACGATAACCAAATCCCAAAGCAACCACTGCGAGCGGAGTTCCCGTCCCACCGACATGTCAGCCACTGGGTTCAACATCGTTCGAACCAACCCCAAATCAGATCGCTTCAACGTTGAGCGTTTCCACCACATCGAGCTCTGGTGCTCCGACGCCACCAACACCGCTCGCCGTTTCTCGTGGGGTCTCGGGATGCCCCTTGTCGCCAAATCTGACCTTTCTACCGGAAACCTTGCTCACGCTTCCTATCTCCTCCGTTCCGGTGACCTCTCCTTCGTCTTCACTGCTCCCTACTCTCCGTCCATCGCCGCCGCGCAGCACCTTGAACCCAAATCCACCGCTTCCATCCCCACGTTCGACCGCGAATCCTGCGTCGCTTTCGTTGCCTCCCATGGCCTAGCGGTTCGGGCCGTTGCCGTTGAAGTCGATAATGCAGATATTGGATTTCACACAAGCGTCGCCCATGGCGCCAAGCCATTGGCTTCTCCTGCTCTTCTCGACAACGGGGTGACGTTGGCCGAAGTTCTGCTCTACGGCGACGTCGTCTTGCGATATGTCAGCTACAAAGATCCGTCCAAAGCGTCCGACCCGAACCCCAACCATTGGTTCCTGCCCAACTTTGAGCTGGTGGAGGAACTATCATCCAAACCTTCATTGGATTACGGGATTCGGGGGCTCGACCATGCCGTTGGTAACGTGCCAGAGCTGGTTTCGGCGGTGAATTACGTGCATGGATTTACTGGGTTTCACGAGTTCTCGGAGTTCACGGCGGAGGACGTGGGCACCTGCGAGAGTGGGATGAAACAGATCGTGTTAGCCAACAACGACGAAACTGTTCTGCTGCCACTGTGCGAACCAGTGTATTGGGACGAAGCGGAAGAGTCAGATACAGACATTTCTGGAGCACAATGAAGGAGCTGGGTTACAACATCTAGCTCTGGTTAGTGAAGACATATTCAGAACTCTGAGGGAAATGAGGCAGCGAAGTTCAATAGGTGGCTTCGAGTTCATGCCTCCACCACCTCCAACTTATTACAACAATCTCAAGAACCGAGCCGGTGATGTATTGACGGATGAACAAATTGAGCAGTGTGAGGAGCTGGGGATTCTGGTGGACAGAGATCATGAAGGAACTTTACTTCAAATTTTTACCAAGCCCGTTGGAGACAGGTAATATAGTTACTCATATCCCTCTTCCTGTTGGATGGCTATATAACCAGTGAGAGATTATGTATGTTTAATTTGTTGAGATAATTAATGGGCAGGCCAACCATGTTTGTGGAGATAATTCAGAGAGTGGGGTGCATGAAGAAGGATGAGGAAGGGAAGGTGCATCAAAAGGGAGGATGTGGAGGTTTTGGGAAGGGTAACATCTCAGAGCTTTTCAAATCAGTGCAAGAGTACGAGAAGACGCTTGACCTTCAAAGACTTGCAGTTGCAGAACCGACCATTAGCGCTTAAAATATGACATTATCCATGTGATGAGATTTCAAGATAGCATATATAGTGTTTCATATGATCGAAGTCGTAGTAATAATTAATCATCCTGTTACTGTGTCATTTTATTTCGTCAATTACTTTGTTATTAATTATGATGCGCTAATATATATCAGTGTACTGCATGTATGGTGCGTAGTGTATTAATGAATAAATAAATGTTGAGTTTCTTAGTTGGCTGGCAATAATCTCCTCAGTTTAAAAAATCGATTTTGATGCATTGGTATGTACGTATTTGCCTGATGATAAGCTTGCTCGTTGTCTCCATAATGCTTCTACAGGCTCCAATTTTCTCTAAGAGTTTGACAACTCTCAAAAGTGTTTCTCAAAAGAAATTTTTTACAAAACGAGATAAACTCCTTCATATATTTACTTCGTAAATCGTAAAAACACTTTTAAAACCATAATTTAGTTTCTATCCAAACATTCCCTAGACCAGACTAGGTTAGCGCCTTACCTGTGATCTGATCTGTCACTAACCCATGGTCTGGTATGCAAATACTACCTCCGGTCCTTAATATAAGATCCTATTTGATTTTTATTTTGGTCCTAAATATAAGACCCCAATCCACTTTGTCTCTCATATTTATATATTTTTTTTTCCAAAGTAGTCCTTCTAACAATGATAGTTCTAGTCAATACACTTGATTAGCAAGGATATTTTAGGAAAGACAACACCTATTTAGGACAAATAACTAACTTAACTTATTTCATTAATCTCCTCAAATTAGTCAACTGGCTTTTATAATTAGGACCAGAGGTAATATATCGCATCAAACAAGAGTTAGATCTAGAAAATTCAGTCAACATTGAGCAAAAGAACAGAAGAGGAGGAGGAGAAATCTACCCAAATGTGTGGTTATCGAGTGAGGGACGGCTCAATTGAGGAGTGAGCTTGGTTGGATTTGAGGGTATCAATTAGCCATGGTGGATTTCATTGTTTTACGTTATTCCGCCGTTTTCGAACAAGGTTGAGGGAATCGGGATTGTTGGGATGATGGGTGGGTGGCGGTGGCAAAGAAGAGGAAAGTCGAAGGCGAAGGAGACGGGAATAGATAGGAGCAAGGGTTTGATAAAATAAAGTATTACTTTCGGTTTTAATAATAAATATAATAATTTGTTTAACTTTTATTTTAATTTTAAATATAAGATCCTAATAAACTATACTCATGTTTTTCATTTATGCTTCCCCACATTTTTTCTTTTTTTTAGGTTATTTTTTTTCCTACAAAATAAAAAAGATACATATATATAAATTTTGTAGCGAAATTCCTTTTTTTAATAATATAACTGAGGGTAGATATCGAGAAAAATATATAACAATTAATTAAATAAATTTACTAAATCCATATATACACGTAACTATAAAATATATGAGCATACCTATTGGCAATGGTGGGGGGCAGCTGCCCCACCCGCCATCCCCCATCACCCCTGATACTATATATTTTAAATAAGATATTTATTAGTTAACTTTTACGAATTAATTATTTAACTTTCATACTTATGAATATACAAATATCTTATGTGAGGGCATATGTGCGTAGAAACAGATTTCATCAGTCATATGTGTAATTTGAATCTCCTGCATTTTTAGCCATCTATGTATCCTCTTATTATTAAGTATTAAATATGAACATCTCTCCTAATAAAAATTTAAATTTTAGTTCGTTACGTTACAAGGAGCTAACATTTTGTATTAAATCTAACCTCTTGGTGCATTTTTAGCAATTGATTGAAAAGAAGCGGAATGGCTCTGACAAGCCAAGAAGATTTCAGACTAATATGAAATACCACGTTTTATGCCTCTAGGAGAATAATAAACTTGAAAATTTTTCATTATAATAATACTTTTGGACAATAAATCTTTTAATAAGGAATTTTTCTAAAATTTTCATTTTTTAATTTTCTATTCGAGTTTTTCTTCCTTTGAAACAATTTCAAATTTTATAATTCTCCTCGTTTTTACAGGGGCTGCCGGGTCATCCAATTGGGCCTCTCATAACATAGATCCCTAGGCCCAATCCTCCAGGCCTCTTCCGATGCACGCGGCAGTTTCCTGCTCTACCGACAAGTGCTGTGAGGAAACGCAACATAGCAAATCCTTGTTAGAATAGGTGTTGACAATTAGTGTCCGATAGTGTCTCGAATAAGATTATCTCCAATAGGAAGATACTTATGCTTTAGCAAAAAAGAAAAAGAAAAACAAGTGTTGGTCCAAGTGACCAACAGGGGTTGGATCTAGTGAAGGGGTTAGTCCCTCACAACGTAACGAATCAAGGTTCGAATCCCTATTGGAAGAGGTGTCCACATTTAGTGTTTGACAGTGTCTCGAATAGGATTTCCTCCAATAGGAGAATACCTATACTTTAAGGGGGAAAAAGTGTTGATCCAAGTAGAAGGGATTTAGATACCTTAAACATCATGTCCTGGGTTTAATCTTAAAGCGATATGTATAAAAAAAATACTATTGAAAAGGTCCCACAAGTGATGTGTATGAAAAAAATACTATTGAAAGAGGTCCTGCTATAGCAGGACCTGACAGTATCCTGAGAGACTAGGGAGGATACTCTAGCAGCCAAAAAAAAAGTTTCCCGCTCTCTCCGCACTCACAGTCGGTATTGCCTTCTTCCGTTCGCACTTCGCTGCTTTAGCTAAAGTTGAGCCTTTCGTCTTCTTCCGACGACGGCACACCAGTCCGCCTTCTCTGTTCTCGCAGGTCAGCCCTTGCCTCTCTTCTCACGATCTCATCTCTGTTTCTCGTTCAAAGATTTTTTTTAATTAATCAAATAAATCTTCTGCTCCTCATGGAAGTTGGGGCTTCGCGTCAGCTCTCTTTTCTGCTTGTCTGAGTTCGAGTCGCTTTCCTCTTCCATATGAGGCTGGAATATTTATGCTTTTGTGCTCAAGCTTGTATATTCTGAAATGCTTTTTGGTTTTGTTTATTATTTATTATAATATTATTATTCTGGATTCTGACGTTTCCCGTTTCATCTGTATCGCCTCATTCGTTCTGGGAAGGGATTTATTTTGCTTTTTCACTTGTTTCATAACCATGACAATCCTATTTCACAATTGCTTCTATTATTTGTCATCTTCTTTCCCGAGTCTATATTCCCAAAGTGAGAGCACCAAGCCAAGCTGTTTTATGGTGAATATCAATCCCCTGAACTTCATAAAACAGAAGTTTTCCTCTTTGTTTCGCCTTCCTCAGCCCAGTTTTTTTTTTTTGCCTAAGATCTGTATCTTCTACTTGTCCCAGAACTTTTTCTGGTGTTTAAGCTTAGGCTATCTCATGATGATGATGCGACAAGAATAAAATTGCGAAATTCTTTGTCTTGTTTTTTAACATTCCATATGGTTTTTTTCGTCAATAAATAGTTGCTTTCTGGTTGGTATTTTTGGAGGCTCTCATTTATTACTTATGTAGATGTTTATTATAATATTACCATTAAACTATACAGATGTTTGTTATATAACATTTTTAGTGTTAACACTTTTTAATAACCTCTTCGGTCTCATGGTTTGGTTTCTATCTCAAGGTCTATTCCTCTAAGTTGGAAAGCATCTACTGATAAGTTTGAAGTTTCCAAAATGGAAATTGTACTCCCCCGGTCCTAAATATAAACCCATTTTATAGTATAAGTTACACCACAAAGATTTATACTATAAAATAAGTCTTATATTTAGGATCGGAGGAGTACTAACTATATTAATTTAGATTTTCTTTTAATTTGCTAGTGATTGGCTTTATCTACTTCATATGCAATTAATTGAGTTCTTTCTCAAGTAGTTTAGTATTAATTGGGTATATGTTGACTTGGTTTGTTAGATGGAATTGACTTTTGAAGACAATTTGGTCCTACGCCAATGGTTTGTTTTGCGTTAGAAAGCTATAACATTACTTGGATGTGGTTTTGTCTGTGTTGTTATTTAGAAATCCCGTGAAAGAAAAATAAGCTACAATCAGAGTACTTATGCTGCCAATAGCATTGATGATGTTGCTTCTGTGTACAATGTAACTCCAGAACATTTTAAAACTCTTGATAATAGCATCACTACAAATGGTTCCTCCAAAAAAAAGAAAAGAAAAGAGTGAGTTCCAAAAAAAAAGACTTGGACTTGGGGGTTGTTTGGCAAAATTAAAAAAAAACACGTTTGAGTGTCAAACCATGGTTTGATCTGAAAACCATCCAAACACCACACATTATGATGCTTCCTAGACTCTCCTTTAGACCGTGAAATCATGGTTTTAGAAGAAGCAAAACTTTTTCACTTTTGGATAGACATCAATGAATTACAGGCTTTGAAAGACGTGCATATTTGCATTAGCCTCTTTCTTCTCTTTACAACCCCAACAAGACTTTCATATTTTCCTATTATGTTTAATAAAATATATAATAAATTTATGACTTCAGCTGTAAATTTAATCAAATTATTTATGTTTAATATTTTCATCATATGATTAATAGAAAAAATATTAGGAAAATTCATAAATATATAATAAGAGTATTATTTTTAAAAAATATATTTAATTTTATATTTTATATACACATTAATTATTAATTAATCATATAACTAATAAATTGCTCTTAAATATGTTTATTCAATTTTGTTAAAAAATAATTATGAAATTTCATGTTCAAAATCTTTAAGGTAAAATAATCATTTTAACATATTGGGTTAATATAAATTTTGGTCCTTCAAATTTATCTTTATTTTGGTTTTGATTCCTCAAATTTCAAATCATAGGTTTTAGTCTATCAGATTTCTTTTCATTTAAAACACTGGTCCCCATAATTCAATAAAAATTTAGACTATTTTGCCCCTTAAGGGGCTAAAACTGATGGTTTGAAATTTGAAGGACCAAAACCAAAATGAGGACAAATTTAAGGGTCCAAAAATTATATTAACTCAAACATATTTAATCTCATATTTTATAATATATACACACATATTATTATTAATTATTTGTATTTTATTATACTATTTATTATGTTGGCAAAAAATTTATTTTTAACAAATTTATTATTTCAGATAAAAATATATTATAAAATCTATCTTTTATGCAATTATTATATTAACTTATGTCTTTTTTAGAAATTTATACATATACTCGTGATAATAATTATCTAAACACTTTCATTTTATCAAAACTATTTTTTTACAAAATCTATTATTCTAAAATTTATTCTAAAAGATAACTTTTTTTTTTTCCAGAAGTTATTCTTGAAACCATTATTTGGTTTTATCCAAATACCCCTTTAATTGAGATTGGATTCAAAGTTTTAGAAGCTATTAAAGAAGGACTTCAAGCAATTAGAGAACAAACACAGGTGGTAAAAGAAAGGCTTAGAAGGTTCCCACAGTTATCCGGTGAAGGAGTATGGAATATGATTAAAGAGTGTGGCTTTTCACAGGACAATATTACTAAGACCTATAAAGTTCTCAGGGTGATGTGATATGTTAAGGGCATTTGTTGAATGTCCCCTTCATACGCGCAAAGATATGCTAATAGATATCATGAAGGGCTTCAAATCGATTTAGTTTTCTAACCATGTGGTGCATAGGGTTGATGATATTGGATATCCTTAGTTTTATATGATGGAACATTGTAAATATCATGTGGAACACTATGACCACTTTTGCTATGATGTGATGTTGATGATTTTAGATTACTTTCGTACTGTATGATTTATGATGAACAAATTATGTAATGATTTATGGCAATGAATGAAAAACCGGACCAAACTGGCCGGTTTAGGTCAGAAATAGGCTAACCGGCCAGTTGTCCGGTTCAGTTTGTCATTTTAACTGGGAAGGAATCACCTCAGTGCGAATCGGATTAACTCGGTGTGAATTGGAAGAAACCAGGCAACCCACTGGGCTAAGTGGGTTGGCCGGTTCACTTTTTTGAGAAAGAAGACGAAGGTGTACCGGGGAAAGGAAAAAGAAAAGAGAGGGAAAAGGGAGGAAAAATAATTGAAAAATTTAAAAAGATACCAAAAAATAGAAGAAGTAATGAGCAGTAACGAGGAAATTGAGATTCAAGCTGCAAAATAGGAGAAGAGAGGAGGAGAAGGCGTTCGCAGATCCGGCCGGACGAAAATGGCGTTGCTCAAGTTGCAAAAGCGTGCTACTAGCTTGTTGAATCGTTGCGGAGGCAAGGTTTGGTTGGATTAGATAAAAAGTCAATAATAAAAGAAGAAAAGGCTGTTATTTTTAATGCAATATTTGATATTAAAATAGAATTAAAAAACGAAAAAAAAGGCCAGTAAACAAGACGTGTTGCATTCAATGTATCAGCTTTTTTTCTTTGCATTTATGGTAATTGACAACGTGTTGCAGTGATCTAGGATTTTTTCTTCTCTTTTCTAGGATTTTTTCTTCTCTTTTCTTTTCATTTTCCTGACCTTGCTTGTACCATGTTATGTAAATAATAAAATATTTAAAATACATAGCATGTAACCCTGATTTTTAATGTTGTATTCAAATTAAATTTTTAGGTATTATAATTCATAAAATTTATTTCTTAATTATTTTTTACTAATTGTATTATTTTAATATGAACGGTTTGATTCCAGTTCGATCCCGATCAGACCATTAACTCTTAACCTAGTATTTTGACCAGTTTAATATGCAGTCCGGTTTCTTATTCATTGATTTATGGTGATGATATGACATTCTAATCGTATTTGAATGTTGTATTGTTGGGTGCTCTTTTTGTGATTTTAACGATGCCCTCACATGATAAGTATATATTTTTATGATATAAGATGTTGGACAGTGTTGTTAATTTATTTTATAAATTTGTAAATAGCTCATTTATGACACGCACATGATATATATATATATCTTATATTATAACACTGATATTATCACAATTTTTATTTTCTGATGTGGTTGGGGTTTTTGTCTCTTTTTCCCGTTTAATTCTCGAAGTTTATGATATTTTACATAGGTAAATAATTTTTTAAAACATATTAAAATTAATAAATTCATTCTTTAAAATATATAAAAGGATGTTGCAATCTATGGCTATAAGTGAGCTAATGGATTTCTGAAATTTAAAATTTAGAATCTAATATAAGGGGGTGCTTGGGGGACTAAAAAAGTGTTTTTTAAAGACATTTTTTTCAAATCGAGATAAATTTTTTCACATATTTATTTCGTACATCATAAAATTACTTTTAAAATCATGATTTGGTACTTATCCAAATACTTCTAAAGTCTTACCAAAGAATAAAGAAATCTAATTTAAATAATAACTTAATAAGGGTATGCTTGTCAACTTGCAGTTAGTTTCCTCTTACTTCTTGAAGAGCAAAAATTAGCAAAATATCTTCGTTTCTTTAAAATTAATTTTTCCCTTCCATTCAACCAAACATATTGTTAAAGGGTGTTTAGACCAAAATCAAAACATACGTGAGAAGAGTTTTGTTTCGATTTATATGAAAATACTTGTTAAAAGTATTTTTAGATAATCTTAACACCTGCTTAAATTAAACTGGAATGTTTTGTGTCAGCGGCTAATTAATGTTACCTATAGTGTTTGGATAGAATTTTCTATTTGAGTTTGACATTTTTTGTGTGCATGTATATTTCATTATATTAAATGATTAAAGAATACGAATGAAACTATCAAGGCCGAATGTATTGATACAACTTCTTCCAAGATCACCAAGTTGTTCAAGAGATTCCGACTTTGGATATTTGGAAACCCTCATAATTAATTAAAAAAAAAGCTTTTATACATGTTGAGATATCACGTATTTATCTCAAGCTTTGCAAAATTATTCTTAAAAAATTATTTCAATACTATGAATATGGATAATTGATGCATTTGGATGAATATTGCTTTTTTTTAAATTATTGTTTTTCTTGGAAATTTGAATTATACTCCTTTTTTGACCAGCATTTGAATTATACTCTTTATTATCATGGATAAATATATTTTTTATATTATTTAAACATTTAAATTTAAAATGTATTGATTTGGTCATCTTCATCCTTGAGATTTTCCTAGGGTTTATGTAATATCACACCACACATACGCCAACACCGCTGCCTGCCTGCCTGCCTCCAACTGCGCTCCTGACTCGGCGTTTCCATGGGGAAGAAGAAGAAATTCATCGACAAGAAAAAGTCAGCTACTTTCCAATTACTCGCACGCGATTCTTCTGATCCCAGCTATGACGGAACCCCCGACAACGACCGTATCTTCGTCCGTGTTGACAATAACCCTGTCTCTGCTGCCAGCTTTGTTGGCTCTGATGAACCTTGTGGCGGCGGCGATGATGACCCAAATTCGATATTCGCTGACGCACCTGAGGACTATGAAGGTGACGAGAATGATGCCGAGGTACTCGGCAACTCCATGCTTGGGTGGAGTGGGAATTCGAGTACTGCTGCTGGGACATTGCCGGAGCATGTGCGAAGGGAGGTTTTGGAGTTAGGTTTTCCAGATGACGGGTATAATTATTTGCTCCATCTGAGAGAGATTAAGAATACCGGTGGCGGCTCCGCTTTTTATCACAACCCCAAGTTTAGGGCTGATCTTGTTCCTCATGATGTAAAGGTTGGTTGTTTTTCTGTTCATTTTACGTTGTTTACGCCTTTGATGTGGAATTTGAAGCTCCGGTTGTGTCAAAATTGAGCGGTATAGAAAATGACGCACATGACTCTTTTATAAACATTTAAATAGTGTTGCATTTGTCTTGCGTTCATGTCAGCTTAAATGCTTCATAGGATTTCAGCTTGCATCTGATGGACTAGATTCAATAGAGTATGAAACTAGGTAATTTTGTTGTACTCATTGGGTAGCAATTTTCTTATATTTCCTTTAAAGTAAAGATTTGTTGGTTCCTGGGTGTTTGGTTCGTGAGAAGTTGGATGACAACGATATGGGTTTACCTCAATTTAAGATTAGTTTCTTCCTGACTACATTGAACTTGGGTGGCTTGTGTTGAATTTTTCATTTTGTGGTCCTATGATGTGCCAGAAAATGATCTATTGTTTTCTTTTCTAACGCATCTAGGCCTATGATGCATCACGGTTACAAATTTCCGAAGTGAATGAAGAGTACAATGACAAGTCCATCTACAGTGTTGCATCCAGGACTACAAATGTGAGGGTTCAGAAAGGTGTAGATCCTGAAGTGGCTGCATTGCTTGACGATAGTGATTTGTCACGGTTTGGCTCTGATGGTGAAGACTTGGAGGAAGACTTTGTTGTCCAGGCAAACCTTCCAGCAGAAGAAGAAGAAGACAAGCCCCACATATGTAACAGAACGAATTCTACTGATGAGTGTGTTATAGATAGAAACAATGTGGAAATATTGCATGCCTCTGCTAGTTCCAAAGTTTCTAATGCTCTTGAGCCCCTGGATGGATCTACAAAAGGTGTTGTAGAAGTAGATTGTGTCAATGAAAAGCCAAGAGTTCGGCGGCTTTTGGATGAACAGTTTGATTTAGTGAGTTCTACTTTTCTTGATTGACTTTGCACGCATTCTATCGCTCTATAACAAATTACCAATCATCTTTTTTTTTTTTTTGAGTGAAAAAATTACGAATCATCTTATTAAAGGACTGTGTATACTGAATTTCTTTAATTCCAATGTTAAAGACAGTGCTTTCCACCTTACTACATTTTTATGTTGCCTAAATAAGGCCCTTTATTAAATGCTTTGCACATTTTTACTTCAAGATCCCCAGTCTCATTATATTTTATATTATGTAGCTTGAACGTCAAGAGTATGGAACTGATGATGATGATGATGATTATGATTATAATTGCTATCAAGCTGAAGATGAATCTCTTGCTGCTAAGCTCAAACGTTCTCTTAATGGCCGTGCGGTGGATGACCTAGAGCTTAATGATGACGAATATAAGGTTCCTGCAGATTTAGTGAAGGATAAAGAGGCATTGAAAAGTGATGAGCAAGATGGCTCTGCTGCTGATGTAATTCGCCTCTGCAAGGAATATGCTCAGAGGTATGAAAATGAAGAAGAAGAAGAAGAAGAAGAAGAAGAAGAAGACAAGGATGTTGTTATGGAAGAAAGTAGTGATGAATCAGAAGTTTGGGATTGCGAGACAATTGTGTCTACATACTCAAATTTAGATAATCACCCTGGGAAAATTGGAGCACCTGAAGCAACTAGGAAGAAAAAATTGTCTCAAGCTGTTTCTGCAGCAATGAGTTCCTCTAGTCATAAAATATCCCTTAAAGGAAAAGAGAAAATCCCTTTGGACTTCTTGCCTGGTAGTAGAATGCCTGCTGCAGGAAAAGAGAAAGCCGTGAACACTATGAAAGCTGAACAGCACAGGAGAAAACAGCATGGGCAAGAGTCAAAGGAGGAGAAGAAAGAACGGAAGGTATATGCTGATGTTATTTTGACATTACATATGCTATTTATAAACAATGCAATTCATCTATCATATAGTCATTGTTAAATATTTACTGATGAATAAGAGTGGTCATTTCAACTTGTGGACTAATAAAACGACTGACCTCAAGTTTAATGAGAAGTAACTGTCTGAATTTGCTAGCCAAAGAATAGTATCCATCTTTATGTATTTTGGTCTTACTCTGCATCTGCTGCTGCTCTGACAAAAAGGGTATTTGTCCTGCTGTTAGGCTGCCGTGAAGGAGGAAAGGCGAGAGGCACGCCGCCTGAAGAAAGAAATGAAAGGGCTTTACAACCATGAAGCACATCGAGGACAAAGAGTTGCTGCTGTATCGGGCCCTACTACCATTCCTCTTTTGTAAGTTTTCAAAATTTTAGAGCTAGCAATTGCTCTGAAAAGAATTTTGTATTAGTAGAAGACATAATTTTTACAAGTGAATTTGGTGCTTTCAAGACATTAGGCTTCAACTTGAATAGAACTTGGAAGTTCAAGCCATGCTACGAAGAGAAATATGTATTTAATGAGATGGCCTGTTATCCGCTGAAGAAGTTTCTGAAATTTCTTGTTTGCGGATAAATCCTCCCAGCGTCCTGCTAACTTGAATTGCATTAATATTGAAAACATCCGCCGCTTCTCAACCTACTTCCTCTCCCTTGTTGTAGTCATCCTTGCATAAAAACGATATGAAGGAGAAAAAACAATGGAGAAAATGGTTAAAACTTTTCTGGGCTTCTGAGTTTAAAACTCAATTCTGGATGAATGTGATTAACCTTGACGTGCAAGTTAGAGTGCAATATAGCAATATTAAGCATTCAGCTACGGTTATAATGACAACTTAATTGCCTGCATCAATTGAAATTATGACCTACACGATCATGGCAAGTTAGAGTGCGACATAATGATATTAAGCATTCAACCACGGTGATGATAACTCAATTGTTTGCATCAATTGAAACTATGACCTGCACAATCATGGCCTTGTTTACCAATTGAACCTGGGGATGATGTGCGATTGTTCTTTAATTTCCTAATCAATGACATTCTTTTCTTCTTGTGCTATTCTCTTGGCAGGTAAGCTATAAGCTATACGTGTTTTCATCCATGAGTGGGTCTTCCATTCCACTGTCATGAAGTGAGGTGTTATCAGTCGTTGCTATTTCTCATAAGAGTAAGAATGTCTCTATGCATGGCTATGGTGGTGCCTTGGTTTCGGCTGAGACAGGTTGTGATAGCTTATCTATGCCCCAAGCAGAATGGGTTTGTGGGGTTTTTGATGTTAGCGTTTGGTTAGTAGACTAAAAGTTATGGAAAGTCTTCCATTTTTTGGGAGTTGGGGGGTTAAGCTGAGTTGACATGGTTTATAGAACCAATCATGAGATTATTAATAATATGTTTTTTTCGCACGAATTATGACTGATCAAATTTTGAAGGGGGACCTTTCTTCACTGATAAAAGCAATCATGGATATACATGCTCGCGCTTTGGAAAAAGGGGGGGGGGTACCAGGATGACTGATTTAAAATGTGTAATTATTTTAGTTAAGAAGTTACCACAAGTGCTGGTCAAAAAATAACAAGTTATCACAAGGTCTTATGAGACTTGCTATTGCTACTAGGCTGTTGCAATGTTGGACATTGAGGAATATACAATGTTGAGTAATTTTGTGACAAGTCTTCTAGATTTAAGAGGATGTTTGGGTGGAAACCAGGTTATGATTTTAAAAATACTTTTCCTGATTTGCATGAAATCATTTTTTTAAGGTATTTTTAGATTAAACCGAGCACCCCTTTAATAGTATTGTACGTAAAATTTCTCATAAAACTTGGTCATCATGTTAGTTCATGTAAATAATTACAAGTCCGTTTGAATCCTTTATGGGAATTTCTTCTTCTCACATTGAAATGAATGATTTGAAATGAAAGTTTATGTGAATCAATTGTCACAATCACATTTGGAATCCAGCCTCGATTGCAAAAGGACATCCAATTCTTTACTTGTGATTTCAAGCTATCTTCTGGAAAAGAATTCGACTTCCGAAGATTCAAGAAATAAATTCTTATAAGGAAAGAACTTGGGAGAATGACCAAAAAACCAAAAAAAAGTTGAAAAGTACTAAATCTTAAATCAGGTTTGATAACATTTTTTTTTAAGTGTTGATAATACTAAATTTGTAAATGACAACAAATTTTTGTTAACATTTCTTATTTGATATTTATAAATTTTTAGGTTTTTTTTGTCATTTTTCAAAAAAACTTTGGAATAGAGTGCAACTTGATCTTTGGAGCATGATTTACTTTTACTATATTTTTTGCACGTCTATAAAAATATATTTGCTTTTTTTTTTTTAAATAAAAAAAACTGACCTACGTTTTATTCTTTTGAAAATATTTTAGAATTAAAAATTTAAATGTATCGGCATAAAGATTTTTTTTTTTCTAAAGTTCCTTTGCTCTTAAATATCTGTTTCTGCATTTTACTACCTCCGGTCCTTAATATACAATTTCGTTTGACTTTTATTTTGATATTAAATATAAGACTCTAATTCACTTTGTCTCTAATATTTATGTATTTTTTTCTAAGGTAGTTCTAATAATAATAGTTCTAGTCAACACACTTGATTAGCAAGGATATTTTAGAAAAGACAATACATATTTATTACAAATAATTAACTTAACTTATTTATTTAATCTCTTTAAATTAGTCAACTATCTCTTATAATTAAGACCGGAGGTAGTACTTAATTTGAGAACATTTGTAGTGCTAACCCTTAACGTTGGAATTTAGATATTGAAGAAGTTCGCAAATTGTTATAACAACGACATCAACCAAACTGTTATACAACTCGATTTATTATTTTGAAATAATAAATAGCAACAAAAGAAATAAATTATTAGAATTAAAAATTAATAACAAAAATTAGTATTTGATAAATATAGAATCATAGACAAAAATTTGATGATACAATATGTGTATAAAGGATAATGTTTTAGTTCATTTTACAATTCGGTGTATTATAATAGTAAATTAATAACTTACCAATTTTTTTGATTTAGGGTGTATCTAGTATCCAAAGTATCTTCTTAGGTGTATTTAGTATCTTAAAATATTTTCTAAATACGTCTAGCACCCTCAGGTTTTTTTTTTTTTGCTTTGCTGCTGAATACATAAAAAAATATTTTTAGGTGTTTTGACACACCGAGAAAAATATTTTAAAGTGTAAAATACACTAAAAAAGACTTCACGATGCTAAATATACCTAAAAAATATTTTAATATAAGATCACAAATATTTTGTTAGAGTGTCCTTAGCCCATATTTTTTCAAGATATTTTTTTGGTTAAGATACGCCATTACTGAAAAGGTAGAATGGAATACCGAAACGGGGAAATAATTCTAGAAGCATTAATGGGCTGGCCCATTCTTAAAAAGCAACAGTATCTTCTTTTTTGTCAAAGGGGTAGCGATTCTATAATTTTCACCAGCAAGTCTAGGGATCAATCCTCAAACCTACCAGTCTTTTTCATTTAATTTATGTTCTATAAATATTGGTAGGAACGGTTTACTTTATAATATTTAAAGTTCATTTTGGCCTGAAATTCTATAATACAATAGTATTATTTCTTAAAAAAAAAATAATTATATAATAAATATGTGTTATTTTTTTAAAAAATATTTTTACTATTTAAAATATTAGTTAGAATTATTATTATTTTAAAAAATATATTAAAAAATAAATAAATACAGAGATAAAATAAATTGAAGTTTAGATATAAGACCAAAATATTTTTATATTATTATTAAATTAAATTAAATTATACAAATTTAATATTATATTTGTCTTCCGGAAATGCAAAGTTTCAGAAATATTGTCTAAAAACCCTCCTGTTTCAAGCTTCACACGGCACTTGATCTGCGGAAATGGCTTCCAACGGTGCCTCTGTGGTTAGTTTTACTCTCTCTCTCTCTGTTTGTTTGATTTGGTCGTGACGTAGAGCTAGTCATAAACTCGTAATGTTACAGAGAGCTGATGCGGACACGGAGAATAGCTTGCAGAAGATCAAGCGCCAGTTAGCTTCGAGTTCTGCCAAAAATTTGTTGCAGGGACCGCTTCTCAAGCGATCCGAAACAGTAATTTGATTCTTTCTTTACCTAATCTCTTGTTGCTTGGTACATGTTGCTGTTGGATATGATCAAGTCAAGTGCTCTATGAATATTGGACTGGAGAGTGATATTTTATGATTATCCTGTCACTGGGTCTCTGTTCCTATATAGTACATTAATGATAGCAATTGAATAGCAATTGTTTGTTTTTTGGATGAAAATTGAATAGCAATTGTTATACCAGACTGTTTGGATTTTTCCTGTTCGTTTGTTAATATTTGCAGATAATGCTGAATTGTTACTTTTGTATTGTTTGCTAGCTCATGCAAATCATTTTTGTGCTTACAGTTAAGGAAATGGAACGAACGCTGGGTTATTTTGGATCCAACAACTGGGAGAATGGAATACAAGTATTTTCATATGAATCACTTATTCGTGCTTTGTCTTTGTGTCGCAAGAATGCATAATTACTTAACCTTTATATTGTTTTCCTTGCTCTAGGATAAGAAGAAATGAGCCCACTGTTAAGGGAACGATTGTATTTGATGCTAATAGCACAATTACAGTATCTCCTGTAAACTTCCAGTAAGGATGATGTTTACAGCATCAATTTATTCGACGACTTTCTATTCAATGAATTTCCTTTTAATACTTGTTGACATGTTGCTCACTTATCCCTGTGATTTGTGATTCAGAGGGCTGCCAAAGTATGATGGTTGCTGCTTTTGTATCCATTTTGTCATTTTCATCATTTTTGATGTTTATAAGTAATAAATTGGTGAGCGTTGAGTGAAAACTGCTCTACTTGTATACTTAACCATCTTCTTTAGATATTGGGACCCCACAGAAAAAGGATTACTTTCTTTGTGCGGAGACTCCTGGTGCGGCTAGAGCATGGGTGTCAACTTTACAGTATGTTACCCCCTTCCTTCTCCCTCACTTCTTTTATCCTTTTGCGCCAAGTTCTGTGGAATGTTATTTATTATTTTCAGCTCATTTTGTTGTGAATTGCATCGGTTAATGAGATGTGTCAATGTACTACTTGAGAATATTACACTACTGCTGCTCCGAACGTTGAATACGTATGCCAGTTTGATTAAAGGTTACCTAGTAAAAGAAGGTGGTGTTTGACAGGATGTTAAAAATTAGTTTATATCATAAAAACTTCTATCAACTTTATTGCATATGCATCCCAGCCTGAATTTGATAGGTGCAATTTATCCTATATACCATTGTCTATCAGATGGTGCGTATCATAACTTATGACATTGATATTGAAATCAAATTAATAATGAAATTAGATAATTTATGAGAGTATGTAACTCCACTTGAAAACTTATTGGGAAAAATTGCTACATATTGGGATAACGAAAACTTATTGGGAAGAACAGAATCAAATTTCAATGTCTGGTCGATGAAAGTGTTGATTTGCACAACTGGATAATTTGACCAATTAAAATGTTAGGGAGCATATATGTTGAGTTATAAGTTAAGAAATTTTTGGGTTTGTTTGTAAGTTGGGCCATGTAGGATAACACTGTGTCTCTGTTGTAGAACATAATAATTTTCAAGGATAAATCTGTCTTCCAGCGGTGGGATTGGGTTGTAACTGAATGGACTGTGCATATGAGGTTGAGCTCGTTTGAGTTGTGTCTTTCTTTGGGCACTTGGAAGTACAAAATCATGTATCTGGACTAAGGTATAAGATATTTAAGCTTTTATGTGTATTTGTTGCGGTATTTTACTCAGTTAGATGTCAAATTGCTCCTTTTGATCTGGAGCTTCTGTTAACGAACCATCCATCCAAGCTTCTTTTCTGTTAGAAGATGTCAAATTGCTTCACTAGAAGCCACAGCATTGGCCCGTGTCTCCTACGTCTGTACCCTCTGTCAATCCCATTTATGCAGATAACCTCACATACACATACATGAGAAGCTTCACATGGTTGTTGAATGGACCCTGAAGTTCTAGCATCACAATGATAGGTGGTTTTTTTTTTTTTGGGGGTTCTCTTTTATTTCTAGATTTGTTTGAAATTAAGTACCTGATGGTTTAATGTTTAACCAAGTCTTTCTGGGTCATCATAATTGGGTGATCATAATGAAGGCATAACCATGAAACTGATGGCTGATGAGTGGGGATATGAATGAAAATCATTTCTGGAATGATCTGTGGTTGTTAAGAAGTGCTAGAACATAACCGTATCTTTTCTCCAAAGGAGCCAATGAGGATGCAATGGTTGCAACTTGGGAGAAAGTGGCCTGTGGGGGTGTTTTGGATCCCCTTTGTCACAAATAGATTATTTCTTGAGTATCTGAACTAGAGAGGGACTCAAATGTGCTTGAGCCTAAGAGGCTCAAACGATTGGTCCTTTAGTCTATAATTTCAAAGTTGATGTGCTGACTGGACTTTTATGGGGGAATGTCTGTCGATGAAAGAGCCATTTCTGTGTCGTGGTTAATTGGATTAGTGAATGTACATTGTTGATGCAGCATGTCTCACTTGTTATTAGCTGACTGGTACAAGCAGCGTGTCTTAAATTTTTGTAACAAGTCTCTGCCCACTGTTAAGAAACAGACAAATTCTCTGATTCTAAAACTCTGTTCAAGTTGCAACATGACCTAAACTGGTAGAAATTCTTATTTGGAGTTCAAGCTATGGAATAGGGGCTTTCTCTTTTGGAGGAGGCTTCAGTTTCAATGCCCTCCCCAAAACCTTAAAGAAATTGAAAGAAAGTGCTACAAAAGTTAATGTCATGTGAACGTTCTGTCTGTTTTAATATTATGTTCTTCCTATCTTATATTTTATCAGGTGATCTTGCTTTCTATTATAATACATGAATTTGTATATTGTGTGGACTGCCATTACTATGTATATTCTTGTCTAACTTATTGTAAATTATAATTACATCTGTCTCTTCTGACATTAGTGCAACTCAGCTGGTTCTGAAAGCCCACAAAGAGGCTGTGAATTCCTTGAGTGGAAATGGATCTTCAAAAGTAGGAGTTGTTGCAACAGCTGTTGCCGCAGCCAACTCAACGGCCTTGGAATTCTCTAAAGAAATTGAAGCAGCCATGCAAATCTCTCTTCGAAATGCACTAGGAATGATAAATAGAACTACTGATGGTCCTATGGATGATTTAGCAATCATGAAGGTATAGTGTTTTTTTTTTTTTTTTTTTTAAATTATTATTAGAAAAAATGATCACAAAGGTATGACTGAGTCCTTTTTCTCTTTTCCCCCCTTTCCTCTGTTCTAGCTTCTAATGGATGATTTATCATTCTAGATTATACAGTGAAGTCCTAGTTAGTCCCTGATTTTTCGGTTGGATTGTTGTTGCTACTTAGCCTATATTTTCTTTTAAAAGCTGCTGTCCTACACTTCTTACACCTACTAGTTCTAGACTGAATGGCAATCATTATGTTCTGCTCACTGCTCAGGGGGCTAGAAAGGAAAATAAATCCAGTGCCAAAGATCTCAAGGGAGAATGGAGGATTGGGGATATAAACTAAGAAGAATTGTTTTGTATAGACAGGGTTATGTGCATATGGATGTCATGTTCTTCATGTGACCGTTTTGGTTTTCATGGTGCTCCCCTGTGTACAGGAAACACTGCGAGTTAAGGATGAGGAACTACAGAACTTGGCACGTGATATTCGAGCACGTGATTCTACAATAAAAGAAATAGCAGAGAAACTATCTGAGACTGCTGAAGCAGCTGAGGCAGCAGCATCTGCTGCCCATACTATGGATGAGCACAGGCAAATTGCATGTGTGGAAATTGAACGTTTGAAAAAACAGTCAGTGCTGCAACTTCAGATGTCCAAGCAGAAGGTATGCTACTATGGTGGACCTTAAGATTTCTCCGTTAGTTGATTGAATGGTGTAAACTTGAACGATTTTTAGTAACTATGGGTTATAGACCCTCAGCTAGAACTATTGTTACCAAATATGCCGAAACTGTCTTATATGTCCATTTTATCTTTCATACTTTTGGTAGCTAAAAGAGTCTGAAGAAAAGATTGTGGGGTTAAGCCGAGAGAGGGACCAGTTAAACAAACAGAGAGATGATGCTACTCAGGAGGCAAACATGTGGAGATCCGAGCTGGCAAAAGCTAGAGAACATGATGTGATCTTAGAAGCAGCTGTAGTCAGAGCAGAAGAAAGGGTTAGGGTTGCTGAGGCAAATGCTGAAGCTAGGATAAAGGAGGCTTTACAAAAAGAAGCATCGGCATTAAAAGAGAAGGAGGAGCTTCTTGCATATGTGAATGTATTAAAAGCACAACTTCAAAGGTCAACATCTTGTCCTCTTCAGCCCTTGCATGAAATTTGCATTAACTAGAATCAACATCTTGCTTTTCTTTTCCAACTATTGGTAACCACTTCAGTTTGTCTGAGAGAGTTAGTTTTTAACGATCCAAAAGAAAATGGAGATATCACAATTGGCACAATTAAAACTGCAAGAGTAGAGAAAACCCGGGCTGCTTTATTGTGTTCTTTGAGCTGAGGATCACTTTTGTATGTTTATCTGCTAGGAATGCATATGTCATGAAAAATGAAGTTTAGTTCGGTATTATTGAAGACCATAGATTCAACACGACCTTTATGTGCAAGTCATTGGTGAGGATTGAATTCCTGACTATGTCGGGCTATTTTGAGTCAAACAATTTAAACCATGAAGCCAAGACTCATGTATGGTCTTGCTATAATATCAACAACTTTAATATATTTTAATCCACTAAGTTGGTTTAACTAATAATTTCCTTGTTGCCAGACAACATATCAATGCTACTCAAGTTATTGAGAAGACCGAGTCTTGCTCGGATACAAAGCATGTTGACTTGACTGAAGAGAACGTGGACAAAGCATGTTTAAGTGTTTCAAGGGACATCCCTGTCCCTGTACCTGCTGAGAGTGTAGTTCACATGGCGACAGATCAGACGAATATTCAGCCTCTTGGAGACCGCAAATGGAGTGATATTCAGGCCACAGAGGCAAGGGTAGCTGATGTAAGGGAAGTAGAACTTGAAACTGAAGGAAGCAGTTTAGATATTCCTGTGGTTAGCCAGCCAGGTGCTACCAATCACAATGAACAAGGGCCAAATACTTCTAATCAGCCCTGATGATATCCACAAATAGACATATAAAAATTTTTTATCTGGAAGGAATCTAATGTATCATTTGGTTGCATGTGAATGTATTCTTTTTGTTGATTTCATTCTCTCAGTGCCCCAGTCAAATTGTGTTGAGTTATAACTGACTAGGTGACCTGTGAACTAAGTCAAGCAAAATTGCAGCAACTCAGAACAATCTGTTTTCTTAAGATACAGCTCAGCTTCACTTAGCAATTCTCTGGGCTTGTAGGATAATCAGTTATATACGTATAAATAGATATTGGGAAAATGTGTTAGGTTCTTTAGGTGCTTTTGGTTATATAATCATGAATATTGGGATTAGGAGTGGTCTTGCAAATTCTATGAGCCACAGGGATTTATTAAATGAAGGCTTACCAAGTCCTTAAGGCCTTAAGGGTAGTTTAGGTAATTAGCTTTAGGATTAGTTAGTAATACATTACACGGCTAACTCCACGGGCTGACCCCTATATATATTACTTGGATAGCCTAATGAGGGGTGGACTGATGATTCATGGATAATATTCAGCAGATTTTCTTCTCTCTCGTGTCTCTGTCTTCCTATCCTCTCTTCTGTCTTCTCCTATTCCCTTCCCTTTTCCCTTAGATTTCTACAGCACTGTATCACTTTTGTACTTATTTTTTGACTGAAGAATCTGAAAGTAAACAATTAAATATCATGTGATGTTGCCCAAGTAAAATTCTGAACTGTAAAAGACCTCAAAGTTACCTATTAGTGTGATCATGTTAGCCAAGTGAAACTCTTGAAATCTTCTTAATATTAGGTACTCAAGTGTTCTAAAAATGTAGTTATAATAATGTGAGCGCGTGCTGTAAGATGGAAGCCCCGAAATGATGTCATCCCCGAAATGATGTCATCTAATCACCTTACCAAAGTCTATGTTGGGTTTCTAGCAATCTAGATCCTCTCAGTCATAAAGTGAAAACATTCAAGAGCATTCAAAGAGAGACGAGGTGAAAAGAAAAGGATGTGTGTAGAGGGGGGATGCAAGTGGTGTATGCAGTCATGTTGTCATGTGTTATTTTGTCTCTAACTGGCTGACTATAGAAGATCTAATTTAGGGTTTTTAACCTGGAAAAGCATCTAAAACCCTAGTATAAACCCCATAATACTGTATTCAAGACAAAGAAACAAATGAAATAATGAAAATAATGTCAAAACCTGTGATATATTCATACAGTACAATAATATGTCAGGAGTTTCCCACTTTAACCCGAAGAAAAGTGGGGCATTGGAGGATCAAAATGTCCTGAACATCATTTTAAACATAACAATCATAATAAATTTTGGATGGATCATCCATGGCTTATTGAACCATAGGTTGAAGCTCATCCCAGTTTCCATTAGCGAATATATTCTCTTCCATCACACGAGGGTCCCAAAAGCTAGGGTAAGATACAATTGATGGTGAAGCTTGAGCTACCTGATCCAGAGATAAGTGATTTCTTTCATATTCAACCTCTTCAATGCTCTTCCTAATCTGCTTCCTTTCATCACTTTGCTGAATGATCATTGGGTTTTTGAAATTGAAGCATGAGTTGCCATTGACGTCAGATATTAAGTTTCCTGATTCAGGAGTTGAATGAGCTAGGCTGGATTTGATTGCTGCTTGTGTGTACTTCTTCTGAGATAGGGTTCGTTTGAATATTTTGCACAGCGTCCAAACTTCCTGCAAAATCCAAAATCTAATCATTGCAGATAGGTTCGTTGGTAACGCTAAGTAAGAAACAAATACAAGCCATGCAAGGAAATGGAGATGAGAAGTTCTTTCCGAAATCTTATGTTATGCATTTATTTGTGTCTCATGTTGGTCTGCACAAATCTTTTTTTTTTAAAAAAAAGAAAAAAGGTTGCAATACAGAAACATGCATTGCATATGAAATTTTGTTGTGCAGACAGGAAATTAGGAGCATGATGTCTGATACAGAATAAATAGTAATGCAGATGGTAGATGATCATTCAAATTTCAAACAAGGATAACTTGAGATTGTTCCCTCCAGTTCTTTTTTATATGGCACCTAAAGGAGAAATTTTGTCTTTTTTGCATCTTTCCTATGTTGCTCTTACACGTAGGACTATATTGGAGTGTGTGTATGTGAGAGAGAGAGAGAGAGGAGTTTTCTTACATATTGCATTATGTCATAGAATTTAGTGTTATAAATTAATTTTCTTACTCATATGATATACTACCTCGAATGTTTTATAATTAAAACCAGAAATAATATTAATTTTATAATCTAATACATCATTACCACTTGTCTTTACCCTGAAAAAGAGCAATGTCATGTTTAATAATTATATGAAAGTTAACAGTGACATATAACCGTTATTTTGACGAGCTTGTTGAATTTGATGTCACAATCTTGGGGGAAATTTCTAGCGCAATTTGAGGGAAACTATCTTCACAACTAATAGATGACTTGGATGGAGACAGTCAACGATGAGGACCAAAAGAGAAAATATCAAATGCAATTAATTTACAATAATATTAACATCAAATTTGTTATATTTATTATGTCAAATTTTTCAATGGCATATAGGCACATGTTCTATTTTTTTAAAAAAAATATTATCATTGAATGATAAATTTACATTAAAAAATACACATGACTATATGTGATTAGAGAATTTGACATAATAAATATGAAAATTTTGATGTAAGTATTTTTCGTCAATTTAACATTGAAAATAACCATAAAGAAGACCCCATTGCGTGGCCAATATTTTGATAGATTTAATAAAGTTGGAAAAAAATCTAGACTCAATATAATCTAGACTATCCAACTTGATTTTGGATGGTACAAATTCAATTTAGTTTTTTTGTTTGAAATGATTCTTTTATTTTAATATATACAGAATTCAAAATAAAATTAGTTTTATAACTGTTGCATTTTCATAAAAAAATAAATTATCACTAAAAAATTGTAAATTAAAAAATTTCAAATTCGGACCATTTAAATCAAATTTTGAATGGTTTAGGTTTCATTATAGTGAAATGAGCATTGAATGACGATCCATGAATATTAATTTGTGTCGATTGTATTGAGTTTGAGACCATTATATGTAATTATGTACAGAGTAATTCAAGTGGTCAGATAATTAAGGCCAACGTAGGACATCTTATGCCATCATCTTTTATGTATTTATGTATGTATGTGTTTCAAGATCATTAAAGTTGTGATATTTAATAATAAAATTTCTAAAATCTCAAGTAAACCCCATCGTAAAATCACTGAGAAGTATTGATAAATCTCCAAAATAACGCTAAAAAATCATGAAATAATTAACTACTAGAGCCTGGAAGACTTACAGCATCATGAAGAAGATGATGATCGACAGCAGAGTTGTTGGGAGGAAGACGAAACTCGTGCATCATCCACTCGGTTTTTGAGGCTTTTCCAGCACTTCCTTGATAATACACTAGTGACTTCTTCAGCCCAATCACGACGCCTTTTTGACCTCCTCCTGCCCCATAAATAGGTTTGTCAATTCCTGTAGCTTTCCAGAAACCAGACCCACTCGCTGTCACCCGGTTAGGCCTCTTGCTGTTCCTGTACTTTCTCCCTCTCCTGCAGAAAAAGTATCCTTCTCTTTCCCCTTCCACCCCATGGCTATTCTCTGTTCCACAATTGAATATGTTTTGCACTTTTAGTATTTGTAAAATAAATATACATATATTTATATATCAGAAGCATAAAGAGACTGATTATGGGTGTGTTTGTATAAACGGTGGGAGAAGTTACTTTTTTTAATCTGACTTTTACATAAATCGGATTAGATAAAAGTCAGATAAGGTGATGTGGCTTATGTTTGTATTAACTTTTATAGAAAAGTCAGTTTGAGAAACTGAAACTTGTTTGGATGAATGATAAAAAAATAAGTTTAGATAAAGGACATAAATTTTATTAAGTAATATTATAATAGTAAGTTCTAAGCAATAAAATAAAAACAAAAAGATATATTTTTTACAAAAAAAAATATAAACATTAAGTAAATAAATGAAAAAATAGCATGGTGGTTTTTTTTTTTTCAATTTTACGTTAGTATTTACTTTTGCGATAATTTATGTTCAGTATTTACTAAAAAAATATTATCCTTAATTTATTGTTCCACTTTTACAACATGTGAACGTCAAAAAAAAAAAAAAACTGTTCATGTCTAATATCATCATCTCTTCTCTTTCTTCTTTTCTTCTCTCCTGCACACCCCACTGTCCCTTACCCCCAACCGCTCCTCACTCCAAAAGTAAAAAAAAAAAAAAGCCTCTGCCCAACAGTTCATTAGACCCCATAAGCCCATCACAAAAAGGAGTCAATCTAATCAACTTTAAAATCCCAAAAGTAGCTTTCACCGGTGGAAACATACATCTAGGCCATGAAATGCGATGCCAAACACAGCCTATGTATATATCAGCAGAATATCTATTCTAGTGTATGTTTCGGAGCGGTACGTAGAATGTAATAATCAAGGAAGAAGGAAGTGAATGAATTAAATGAAGGAGAAGGAATTAGGAAATGAAATATATTCCTACTTGGAAGATCCCAAGGATGGTATCTGTAGATGTCAATCTGTTTGATGAGTTCCATTGGAAGAGGCTTCTTCTTCACTTTTCTCTGCAGATAAAACCCTACAAGTTCTTCATCTGTGGGGTGGAATCTAAACCCAGGAGTCATCACTTCTTCTTCTTCTTCTCTCTTATCTGATGACCTAACTTCAAGCTTACCCACTTCCACGTCTGTGTTCCTCATCTCTATTAATTAATCCCTAGCTCTTAAGAACCGTGTGCGCCTATATATATACATATAAATATATACATCTTCTTAGAAGTTTACGTGTTTGTGATTTTTCTGGTATTGTGGTGTGTACTTTTAATTGGATATTGGCAGAGCGTGACTTAGATATGTCAAGGTCAATCTTCTCGTGTGTGACATTTCTCAGAAAGCAAGGCATTGCAAGGGCTAATAAATTTGTGATTGATAGATACGTGCGTTTACTGGCATTTTTTTAACTTTCCATAGGAATATCTTATATTCCTAAAAATAAAATATCTTAGAGTAAATTATATAGTAAACATCTCTTGAATAAACTTGTCTTATTTTTTTTCCTTAAATTAAAACACATATATATATATATATATATATATATATATGGATCTCTCAAGTTTCATCATTTGGATGTATTAAAAATCCATTTTCAAAGCTTACGCAATCCTTACTTAGGGGATGGATATGGAAATGGAATTGATTTCTACCACAAAATTTGTTTGGTACAAAAAATGGGTCATGGAATTGGATTCCATGTGGAAGCCAAGCCCCTCAAAATTGATGGAATTGGCTTCCATCATATAACCCATGGAATTCTAGATAATTCCATGGAATTTTAGTTTTGCCCCTCATTCTTCATTTCATTCAGACTTCTATCACTTTATCACTAACATCCAGCCTACCATAATGACGATGGTGACCTGCAACGGTGATCTCCAGCCACCCTGACAATGACTCGTCTTCTTCCCATATCTCCGGTGAGATGACGAGATATACACATCCTTCATAGATCTCTGCCTCCTACATATCCCTACCTTGTCTTTGACTTCTTTGGCTTCGTCACCATCACTAACGGCAAGATCGATGGATCTTCAATGTTCTAATTCAGATCTTCAATTCTTCCCCACCTTCGACTTCTCTATCTTCTTCATCTTTTCTACCTTTGACTTATCCAAATCCTCAATTTTTCATATGTTTTTCTGTGTTTGAATTGATATTTAGAGTTTGATTGGATCTAGATTGATTTTCTAGCAAAGGTGATGATGGTTTGGATAGTTGGTGGTGTTTTGTCTTCTTCTTCACACATATTTGAAACTTACATATGGAACAAAATAAGAAAATCCATGCTGAAAAAGGAGAGAGCAACGAAGTAGAAGAGGAATAAGAGATGAAGGAGAAGGTTGATCGTGGCAGCAGAAATCCATGATAGTTGTTGAAGCTCGACAGTGATTCATTCCAAAGCATCAAGATGGCCAAATCTGTCTTCCCCACTTTGTTTTCATTCATCACGAAGTCGTCTTTTATTTTGTGATCTTCAATTTTAAGCAAGACATTTTCTTTTAATTTGATTCTACACATGTTTACGGATGGATATTTTGTGTTTGATTTGATATTGGG